ACGTTTCTAAACGTTGCTTTACATAATATGTCTGATTTAACTGTCGGAAAGATCCGCATCGAACGCTTATGAATTAAGTTGAGTATGAAACACATAGCAACTATTAAAGTTCTTTTACACCCTTTTGTTGTTGTCATTGTTTATTCAAAACATCTTCCGCCATTTCAAGAAGATTCCTTTCTCTCTCTAAATTCCTTCCTCTCCAAAAGAGTAAGACTGCGTGGCCAGGGAGCGCTGAGTGGTTCATGTATAAGATGCCAGAGCGAAGGGGGCGAGGTTGAAGACGTGACTTTAATTAATTCACTATGAGGTTTTTTGTGTGAAATTTTTATTGGATATTAAATTGTGTGCAGTGTGTATATTGTAATCATGCTAAAGTAGTAAAGATAAAGTAACGTGAACATGTGTACATTGTATTGCATGACAGTTTGAATGTAAAACGTTCTACACAGGGTGAGTCAAAAAGAAAATGACAAAGTTAGAAAACATGTCAAACTAGACATTTGCGTTTGTCGAGTTATACAAACGCAGGGTGATCGGCCCGGGCTCGCAATTAACTATTCATGTGACATTTTCCAGTTAAGTTGTGAATATTTTAATGTCAGAAGAGAAATAATAAGAATCACGAAATTCAGCCTTTCAAGTTCAACCGTTTCTTTCAATTTGAAAATATAAAGCATATTTCGGGTTTGATAAGTTTCAGTACACATTTTATACGTAGTCTACATACCTTATTTTCGGTTTGCTAACATCATCCATTACGATGTGCAAATTAAATATTGATTTAGTTCGACGTAATCAACCCTGATCCCGAGTGGTACGTATTACTATGACGTCATGATGGCGTCACCGGGTATCAAAGTACAAGCGGCAGAATATGACAAGAAAGTTTTTTAAATTGAAATCCATCATTACATCCCTGTCTAATGACTATTTTCGTAGCACAAATAACGATATCCGGTACAATGTTGACCTAAGGCTGGCAAATGCTATGACGTCATCAAACACAAACACTTAACATTCAATATAGTTTCGAAATTTTGTACCAGAAAATTTCGATGATCCTATTTCTGCTCTGACAAAAATATTCAGTACTTAACTGGGAAATATCTAATGAAATCCCGATCACTCTGTGCGCTTGTAACTCAACAAACGCGAATTAGTTAGGATTGTTGTCCCTCTTACCATTTCACTTAATGTTATTTTACTTGTTATAAAATGAAAAGAAAAATTATAGCCTAAAAGAGTAAAATGTGTGAATGTTTTGCTGTAGAAATTTTTTTCAAGTTTGACTGGTATCGTCTAGCTTTTTTTTTTATCTAACATGATCTAGCTCCTCAAAAATCGCCTGTTAATTGTTGATGGGTACATTTTCGTAAGAATTTTTTTTAACGATCAAAATTTACCGCAAGCCAATTTTTAGGGCAGCTAATAAAAAAATTCTATGTAGTCGTTGGTTTTTTTTAGGAGACGAACAAAAATGCATGGTTTTGTGGAATTTGTTGTATATATTTTTTGTGTTTGTGTTGAATTCCTGGTATTAAATTATTAAACATGGAAATAATTTATCATGCTTACCTCGATAAATTCTTAAATTCTCATAATTTTTTCCTGATGTTTTTCGTACAACGAGCAATATGAATAGCACGCCTTCACTCACCACCCCCCCCCCCCCACACACACACACTGAAAAATTGCCTGGGTTAATTTTACACAAGAAAGGGTGAAAACTGCAACTACCCAAAATTGGGTTGTCCTTTACTCAATTGTTTGGGTTAGATTTTCTGTTAAATCCAACCCAAACGGGTGGTCATACCAGACTAAATTCAATTTGGTCTTGTATGACCACAAGTTTTGGTTGAATTTAACAGAAATTCTAACCCAAACAATTGCGTAAAGGACAACCCAATTTTGGGTAGTTGCAGTTTTCACCCTTCTTCGGGTAAACTTAACCAAGGCATTTTTCAGTGCATATCACCCCCCCCCCCCCCCCCCCCCCCCGTTACCTGGCTATATCCACCTCTGTTCATTCTTTTACTGCGCAATAATTTGCAGCTCGCCCGATGATTTTGCGTAGGATATGGAGTCCAATTTTCACGCTATACCGTTTTTACCAAACACTGTTTACAACACTACATGTATTGTAGCCTGTAATATACTTGCAGAAAACTCATCAAACATCAATTTACCTGTTCTCGGGACTGGCAATATATGGCACTATATATCTTTTAAAAAAGGTATCGATCGACTAAAAAGGAGGCCTGCAAATAGGCCTGTATACTATTCCTTGCTTAATGTGTAACGTTACCGTACTTGTCCTCAATGTCTTGGTACTGCCTTTATTAACGCATGACTGTCTTCACTTGCCTAACCTCTTTTTATATAGCGAGCTTCAAATTTTATGCTTCCGAACGTGGCGTACTTCGACGTTTCCCCCGACTTTCCTCATGCAGTGTTGCCAAACTTCATTCTTGACAAACTTCTAATTCAGTCAGTTAAATACTGATACTTTTATCTTAATAATACTTGTTGTCGAACGTAACAATTTCAGTGTCATGAAATTAAAGTCCGAATTAAAACAATTTAAAAAAACGGTGGCGTCCGGAAATTGAGCAGAAAATCAGCCGAGTGTTCCCGGTCCCTTAAACGTGGCGCACTTGAAAAAATCTCGGAAAATCCCAATTTCTTTAAAGTTGAAAAATTCTGATCAACCATTGTTATCTTTACTCAGCTTCCCAACTAGATGTTGGTCAAAAAAATTCTTATTTTTATAGGGTTCAATGTGCACTTCAAAAATAAAATCGGAAAAATCAAGCCATAATCTGCTAACTTTGTAACGGGTATAGGTAAACTCAAGATTTATGACGTGAATGTTTAGAGCTTGATGAAATTTCACTTACTCCGCCATTATGACCCTGGTTGCGAGGGTGAAGCTCTGTAACAGAGCGGTGACATTCGTGAACCCCCCCCCCCCCCAAAAAAAAAAAAAACACATGGACTTTTGAACGTTGTGTTTCTCAGAAAATATGCTCAGTATGATTGAAATGTTAAATTACAACGGAAGAGGAAATTCTAAACTTCATGTCAGTGAAAAAAATCGCCGTCATCGATGCCGAAACCTCAATACTGCATGGTTACTGGTAAAGCAGACCTTCAAGTCTGGAAGAAATCGTTCAGCGAAAACGTCCCAAAATCTATGTATTTATATCAATTTCTAGGAATTTACGAAATGTGTTATTTCACGAGTAGTTGAACACTTATATCATCTTAAGTATATTCCGAATTTCGGCTTAATCTGTTGTTGCTAACGCTTGTGTTATGGCTCGAACTATCTCTAAGGAAACTCGACGAGGATTTTTCCGACCCAACCCACTTGCATGGTTTTCATAGCGCTTGGCCAGCACAATCGGGGTATATTAGCAAATTCATTTAGCGTCACTTGGCGTGACTTGGCGTGGGTCTCGGTATCGACCAATGGAAGCCGGCAAAAAGGGTGATATTTATCAATTAATAACTCGTGAAGAAGGCTTTTATGCACATTTTACTGCACACCATAATGGATAGGAACCTTATTTGTGAGGCTACATCGCTAACGCCAGTGTTACAGCTTTCAAAATGCACGTAGCCAGGCCTATTTTTCCAATTTCAACGAAAAGTAAAGAACATATCACAACGATTTGTAGCACATACTTGGATCATTATAAGGGAAATAAACCCTGCAAGTTGAATGAAGATACGGTCTTCCAAATGGGAGAAATTAATAAGATTTTCCCCGCCAACGTGAACATGTGTGTGTACATGTAGGTTTCGGCATTCAAAATAAAGTGTTACGTAACCTTTAGAAATCGCCCTTCGCAACCACATGGCTGGTCTGCAGGTCCTTTTTTAAATTTTGGTTTGAGATAGCTCTACTATACTCTCTTGAAGTATATATTTTAAAGAGAGACGAACCAAACCCTGGAGCAGAACCTGCTCACTCCAATCTATAGAGGGCGCTCCCAGTATCCCTGCAGAAATGTTTTGCCCATATCTGGATATAAAAGGTAGGCTATTTTTGAATTGTGGAATATCCCTTTGTACAACAAACGTGATTGTACTTGTACACGTGAATGTCTGGGTACAACTATAGAATGCAGGGCCACTTTACTCTACATCCGCGCCTCCGTACGGCTGCGTGGAGGCGTGGAACCGCAGTCGACCTACCTCTGAAAATCGATCGTGGAGTCGTGGAGCCGCAGAAAATTGCGCCCTCTATCGGTGCGCGTCTCTGCGACTCCGCGACTCCGCGCCTCCACCACTGAGAGACAGTGCCCCGTCGCCCTCCCCCCTTCCTAATTTGCGCGCCCAATTAAAGCGACTCTGCGACTCCGCGACTCCGCGCCTCCGCGACTCCAGACAGTGCCCCGTCGCCCTCCCCCCCCTTCCTAATTGGCCCGCCCAATTAAAGTGACTCTGCGACTCCCCGACTCCGCGCCTCCGCGACTCCAGACAGTGCCCCGTCGCCCTCCCCCCCTTCCTAATTGGCCCGCCCATTTAAAATGGATATGGATGCTTCGTTCTCAAAAAGATTCCGCCGAGAATTGCGCCCTCTATCGGTACGCGTCTCTGCGACTCCGCGACTCCGCGCCTCCGCCACTCCAGTGCCCCGCGTCTCCGCGATTCTGCGACTCCAAGACTCCGCGCCTCCGCCGCTCCAGACAGTGCCCCCAACACATTTACAAGCACGCCCTCCCTTCCGATCCTTCATGAGAAGCTTTGAAGACAAGTGCAGTGCATTCCTTCGCTGTACTTAGCACTTTTTTGCAGGTTTGCATATCTATTACTCCTATTCCATCCACGCCTCCAGGCAAAATAAAAAACCTTGCTTCGGCGTGGCCCTGCATTCTATAGTTGCTCCAATGTCTGATCCTCAGACTACATTTAATAGGTAAAAGGTGGGCACAATTGCAGAATACCCCGCCACTCACCTATCCCTCCTCGTATCTGGATACGCGGATACGGAGTCACGCTTGGATGCTCAACCAAAATTAAAACCACACGCGTGTGCCAACATGGATATATATGGGTGCTTCGTTCTCATAAATAATACAGGGAATAGCGACCTTAGTTTGTAGGGTTTTTTGCTTAGAAGCATACTCACCCTCTTTATTATAGGCTGCCTTTTTCAGATGTTTATTTTCCGTGAAATTTCCATATTCATTTGCACACGTTTGTGTATCAAAATTTCAACATGAAATTTCACAAAAATTAGACATCTGAAAAAGGCAGCACTCTCTGATTTGCCATTTTGGACTCTGTTTCTTACACGCAGTACTTTTTACTACACATAGACATTATTAACTCCATCAGTGTGCTGGTGGGGGGGGGGGGGGGGAGTGTTGATGATGGGAGGGGGAGGGTGGCGTTGCAGAGAGGAGGGGGGGGGGGGACACATGGAAAACAAATATGGCATATGTCATGTATGTTCTTGTAATAAAAAATAGGCTTCGCAATGTTAGGCTTCATATTATGTACCCACGTCTTGAAAAAATGAATAACAACAGTAGCTTGCATGCATTTTTTTTTATAAAAAAAAGAGAATTGTAAGTAAGTAAGAGCAGGGGAGAGCCTAAATAAACGGGTTTTTAATGAGTTTTAAAGGGAATATATACATCATTTGCTTTTACTGTAATTTTCAGAAATGGATGGAATTGGGGGGTTGGAAATATATATAGCAAATATAGTTACACTGACTTTTTGAGGTTTTGGGTTCGAAAATGCTGTAAAAACCAAGAAAAACAATCATTTTCCTGTAGTCTGGTTCCCTGACTCCATATAAGAAGAAACAGAGCAGTTTACATACATTGGGGAATTGTAAGGTCAGGGAACCAGTCTAGCTGGCTCGTACCCGTTCATAGGTTTGTAATCGATTGCAAACAAGTGCGATGGTCAATTGGGGCCAGTATTTGGAAAAAAATCCAGTTTTTTCCAACGCTGATCGGCCGATCAGCGTTGGAAATTGATACAAAAATACCACTTTCTTGAAAATGACAGTATACCAGGTGCCATGATTTTACAGGATGTTTTACACTGTCATTCACTTACAGTCCAGCAAGGTATTTCAAAATGATTTGGTAGTTTTATTTTTTGATGTTTGCAAATGTTGTATTTTCCCTTTAAATAATCGTTTATGTACAGTATTGGTAAACTATAAATCATGTAGTTTAGGACCCAATTCCATATAAGAGAACGAAAAGTCACTTTCATATTTTGGGACTTAATACCTTAACTTTTGGCTATGATAAAATCAGGAAACGTCACTTTATGTGTTTGAAATCATCTAAATAGTTCGCTAAGAAATTTAGATACCATGTTGAATATCAGCTAGCTTAATTGTGTGGACATAGCGGGTAGGGCAGGGTTTTGTTTTGAATTATGAACGGAACGTGTAAAACAAAAGAGGTGTCCTAAACTACACGATTACCAATTTATCATCGACCACAGAGCAAGACCATTCTCGCACTCGGAATTGAAGGTAGATCACCAAGTGCATGATGGGTAAGCAGAGGACCAAATGGACGGCCATCATTGTGACGTGTACAGATGAGGCTTCTGTTCAGCCACTGCAGTACGGTACGCATGTCCAGCCTTAAACTAATGGGATTCAATGCATAATTCCAGCGTGACGAAAGGAAGTGTTATGTCCTTCACAGAGCCAATTAACCATGATATCTAATTTATGATTCACAGAAACAATCCAAAGCTTTTAGTCTGTTATCTCCTTGACCATTACTAGACAATGGACGTGTAAATTTTGAAAAAAAATACTTGTTCTCGGTTTATTCACTGAGCTCTTAAAAGCTCCATCACAGACATTACATAATGATGGAATCTCCCATGTGTATATATAAGAAGGTCTTTAGATCAAGCAAATTTCACAAGTTTTTCTGATTTCTGACAATGTTTTCCAATTATGCCATATGTTTCAGTTAATAAATTGTAGGAATTGTCTTCTTACTTTGAACAGCACTTGTGGTTATAATTTATTTGACCACCCCTTTCCTATCCTCCCTTTCCCCGCCCCCCCAAGTGGGACCAAATAAATTTACTTTGAACCTTAGCTCAGTTAAGTAGGACCACTTTTTTGAATGCAATCTTGGTTATTATGTAAATAATTGAACAACTCAGTGCACAATCTCTTCGTATTCTGACTCTCACAGAACTTGAAGTGCGGCAAAAGAAAGGTTACATCGACAAGGACGTCCTGCTGCTTACCGTTGAAGATCCTCAGGTGAGGGTTGGGTCAGGAGGGGCTACTCTGAATGCTTTGCTGGTGGTGTCGGAACATCTGAGTCAGCGACATGGTTACACGGTACGTGTGTAGAACACTGTGGCCTTATGAGTAGCAGACTGAGGGTGTGGGTTCAAATCCTGCTGAAGACCCACAAGTCAGGGGTGGTTCAGGAGGGGCTACTCTGAATGCTTTGCTGGTGGTGTCGGAACATCTAAGTCAGCGACATGGTTACACGATAAGTGAATAGAACACGGTGGACTCATGATTAGCAGACTGAGGGTGTGGGTTCGAATCCTGCTGAAGATCCTCAGGCCAGGGTTGGGTCAGGAGGGGCTACTCTGAATGCTCTGCTAGTGGTTTCGGAACTTTTGAGCTCATGACTTGGTTACATTGTAAGTGGGTGGAACACTGTAGCCTCTATTCCAGAGTGGAAGTTCAAATCCCGCTGAAGACCCATAGGTCAGGGTTGGTTCAGGATAGGTTACTATGATTTCTCTAGCTGCTAGTGGTTTCGGAACTTCTGAGCCCAAAACGTGTTAACATTATAAGTGTGAGGAGCACAGCCTCTTGGTTCTAAGGGAGATTCTAGAGTGCAGGTTCGAATCCTGCTGATGACCCACAGGTCAGGCTTGGTTCAGGAGGGGCTACTCTGAATGCTCTGCTAGTGGTTTTGGAACTTCTGAGCCCAAAACATGGTTGCATTGTAAGTGTGTGGAGCACTGTAGCCTTGTTGTTCTAAGGGAGAGTCCAGAGTGGGAGTTTGAATCCTGTTCAACACCAACAGTTTCATCAATCATTCAAACAGGCTAACCACAGTGCTTTGTGTTTCAGTTATAACATTTTGTGAAAGAAATAAGCTGTCACTAACACCTTTGGGTACAAAGCTTGTTGGCTATTAAAATTGTAAGTTTGGCTGTTGTCAATGGGAGAGGAAAGGGACATGTGAACCCCTACCCTTTTTCAATTTTTTGTTTGCTTTGGATGAACAGTTGACTGTGCACAAAAATAATATAAAGTCCCCTGAAGAATGCGTAGAAGAATGCAGTTTTTATTATTTAAACAAAAATTTATGGTATTTTTTTTCGTTTTATAGGTTGTGAACTCGGATGTTCTTCTTGATTCCTACATCTTGATTCTCCATGTGGTAAGTTAAAGTAATGTTCCCTTTCATTTATTCTTAAATGAGGTTATGTAATCTAAAATCTTAAGAATGGTGCAGCTCAAAATCTTAAGAAGGGATCATGACAATTAATTTATTGAAGTTTTCAGCTGAAGCGGATACTATACATTGTAACTGGATTCCGTTGCTAATGCAGACGAAAAAAACTAGGCACACAGGCACATTTTCTTGAACCACCTTCAATGATTGTTTTCTTCTGAACGAAACCATTTCAGGCGGAATAATTTCTCGGGGTTATTTGGTACCCGTCCTATCTTCACTTTGAGCACGCATTTACCTGTTAAAATTGTGTCAGTACATTTCCAGGTACATGTACATGTAATTGCAGTTGTTCCTACGTGACTATTAACAGTGCCATCAAAATCAGTACATGAATATCATATTTCAAAGATGATAACTGACTTGCTTTCTTTCCTCTTAATACCATAGGGGCGTTCTTTTCTCTTTGATTCCTGTGGCCGTGCCTTTGTCAGCCTTCCTGCCAAGCATGAGTCTGGGACAAAGGCTGGGTATGAAGGAGTAGTGACGAACATGGACCATCTGATTCACACCGTCACGTACAAGGTGCTCTCAAATCCTTGCCAAGATCTTTCTTCCCCAGTCTTGTAACTTTTCACAGTTAAACAACATTTGCTTTTGCTGTAATTTTCAGAATTTGATGGATTTGGGAGGTTGTTATTTTATAGCAGATATTGTTAAACTGACGTTTTGGGTTCGTAGATGCTGGAAAATCAAGAAAACTTCCCTGACCCCACTTAACCTGAAACGGAGCAATTTATAGACTTCAGGGAATTGTCAGGTCAGGGAATCAGTCTAGCTGGCTTGTACCCGTTCACAGGTGTGTAATCGATTGCAAAGAAAATGCGAACTAAATAAATATGATAAATTGGGAGCAGTATTTAGAAAAAAGCCAGTTTTTTTCCAACGCTGGTCCACCGACCAGCGTTGGAAATCGATACAAAAATACCACTTTTCTTGAAAATGACAGAACACCATGGTGCCAAGATTTTACAGGGTGCTTTAAACTGTCATTCGCTACCAGTCAAGTAAGCTTTTTCGTGATAATTTGATAATTTTGTTTTTTTGATGTTTGCAAATGTTGTATATTCCCTTTAGGCCCAAAAAAAAAAGTCTCTGGTTTCTGGTATGCGCGCGCGTCGCCGTAGCCATGCGCGTCGGCAAAATGAAAAAGTTTTTTTTTCAATGAAAGATGATGTCTCAAAACCGCCAAACTCACTGGTTTGACTGGAATCCTGCTGCTGCACAATTTTAACGTGTTTTTAGATTGGGTTATGGTCGAGAATAAGCTTTATGTGGCCTCTCTGGACTCCCACATATTTGCACTAAGTTTAGTCGGGCACCATTTGCAGCCATCAGCTGACATTTGAAGCAAAAAAATCAAGTAAAAAAAAAAAAAAAAGCGCCGCGTCGCCGCCCCACTTTTTGGGCAAGCTCCATACCAGAAACCGGAGACTTTTTTTTGGCCTTAAGAGGTGTGAATTGACGGGAAGTATGGGAACCAGGTACCCGATGGAAAAAAACCATGGGGACCCGGTCACCTGTTAAAGAAACCTAACCCCAAAATTAAAATCTCGGAAGTTGCTGTTCAGATTGTTCATAAATGTTCGCATGATAATAGTACCACATCATTGCGTCAATACAGCAAAATATAAGTGTGTACAGTGAGCTTCATAGCTTTACGGTGTACACTGCAACTTTTGCGAGTGCCATAAACGTGAAATATGTTTTGCATAGCTGCCAACTAGTACGATTTTTTCGTAATTATTACGAATTGTTTGTTAAATTACGAAAATACGATTTGCCACTAAAACATTACGAATTTCCCATTTTCTACCTAACGAAAAAAAAAAAAATTTAAAGTATCGTTTTTGACCAAAAAAATTCTGGCGAAATGTCGCGATAATGGATGGACTGGTGACAAGTCTAATAAGAATGCAGTCAAGCACCTGATAGACATCAATGCAGTGTGCGCAGTGGAGTACTTGAGGACCAGACTAAAAATATTTTTCAATGGTGTGTCATATGTGTGCATCTCGTGGATGTGTGACTGTGTTTACTGTATGTGAGTACTTTTCAGTGACGATCGTGAGCACATTTAGTCGCTTATTGCCGGGATGAGACCCATCAGTGCGAGATTTTAATCATGGAATTTAATAAGAGTATGGTTGGAATAATTGGTAATAGAGTTTGAGTTTGTCACAACGGACAGAAAAGATAAATCAGCATGCGTTTGCAAGGTATGTTGGCGGGATATTTCTATTGCATACGGTGGCCTAGCTGGAGTTACCCAGCCCTGAGTTTTATCATTGGGTTGTCTATTAGGGCTGGAGCGCATTTTTCTCAAAACTTGTAGTATTTGCAAAAAAAATTTGGAAAATGTTCAATTTTGTCCCCGTTACACACTAATTGCAACTGCAACTCACCCCAAACTTGCCTGGAATAACCATTACACAGGTCCTTGAAGTAAAAAACGATCCACGATGAAGATTCAGCCTACAATTGCAGTGAAAACAGGAGGAATAACCGCTAACTTGACAACCTTGCTGGATTGGCCAGGACCGCTATTGGTTTGTGCACAAAAAAAATTGTGTACAATGAATGGCGGTCGATTAACAGGCACAGAGAGCGATCGCTGTCAACTACTCGTTTTGCCGGCTGCGCTGGCTGTTGGCGCATGACGTCACGCGGAAGCGTAACACCCGATGACTGTTTCATGCACTAGTATAAGGTTTACCACTCGCATCACAGCTTTGGTACTGGAACCGCAACCAATAGTGCATGAAACAGTCATCGGGTGTTACGCTTCCGCGTGACGTCATGCGCCAACAGCCAGCGCAGCCGGCAAAACGAGTAGTTGACAGCGATCGCTCTCTGTGCCTGTTAATCGACCGCCATTCATTGTACACAATTTTTTTGTGCACAAACCAATAGCGGTCCTGGCCAATCCAGCGAGATTGTCAAGTTAGCGGTTATTCCTCCTGTTTTCACTGCAATTGTAGGCTGAATCTTCATCGTGGATCGTTTTTTACTTCAAGGACCTGTGTAATGGTTATTCCAGGCAAGTTTGGGGTGAGTTGCAGTTGCAATTAGTGTGTAACAGGGACAAAATTGAACATTTTCCAAATTTTTTTTGCAAATACTACAAGTTTTGAGAAAAATGCGCTCCAGCCCTAATAGACAACCCAATGATAAAACTCAGGGCTGGGTAACTCCAGCTAACGGTGGCCATAGATCATTGTGTGTAAAAACATGATACGAACTCGAAACTCAACATCGATAGCATGCATGATTGCATCTCCAAAAAAATATGCGCACATGTTATTGATGTTATTATTTATTTGACTTCAACAAACAAATACAGACATTAAAACAAAATTAATTTTTAAAAAAACAAAAAACAAAAAAAAAAAAAATTTTTTTTTTTAAATTATCTTTTGGCCTACAGTACATTATTATTCACAACAAGAAGGGTATGCACATGTATGTGTACATGTAAACCATGTACCTGTACTCGATGTTGGTAAAGCTTTCGATAAAACGAGAAGTTGAAAATGACCGCGCGGGTTGATTACTAATTGGGATTTTGAAATGTTGGCAGCTATGGTTTTGTTTTCCCATGTAGCCTGGTTTTCAGTTTGAAAATTTGCCATTTAAAACCTTTCTTTTTCATTGTCTGAGAAGTTACTACATAATTTGTAAAGTTGCAATGGTTACGGATACCTGATCCCTAAATCTGAAACCGGTTCCTGACATTGACAGTCTGGAACTCAGGTACCCGGTTCCGATGCACGGCCCTATCACAGTTCAAGCAAAAATAACAACAGATTTCTTCACCCTTGGCCTTATGTTTGGCAAATCTCATAAAAAGATTAATGTGTGTGTTACAAGCCTGGAATTATATTCTTGAATGGACGAGGTTGTTTCTCTCCTGTAGAGGGCACTTGCCTCAGGAAATTGTCCGTAATTTCTAAGAGGCACGCGAGACCTGTGTGGAAACTTTAGACCTTGGAGAAATGATTGAGCAGTTGTTTGTTGAAATAGTCACAGTGTTCATTTTGAATCTATTTATTTAAATGATTCATTTATTAATGTCTGTATTTATTTGTTTGCGATACTGCAGCTTTCCGCTGGTTGTCCGCCCGGTGTTTGGGTCTGCAGCACAGACATGTTTCTCACCGTACCGACCACGCCCAAGATGGACTGGACGGGTTTTGATGGTGCTTGCGTCGTCTCGGTTCCCGCCACCCAGGAGTATGCTCGCAACAATGGCATCTACAGAATCAATCAAGAAGTAAGTGGCGAATCTCTGGTGCTATTTAAACCCAAATGAAAGTATTCCAAGGTTATGGAGAATTCTTTATTTAGGCATAAAGTTGTAGAATTTCCAAATGACATCAGATGTGTTGATAATGAATATGATTATTGAGTATAATTGTGAGCATTGCACTTTATTTACACAATGTTCTGCATGATGTGTCCTGCTTGCTGCCATTTTCCAAATCCCCCCCCCCGAAAAAATAATGTATAAATATGTATTTTTAAAACCCTATAAGAATTTGAGCTTTTTTTAGGGGTGGGGGTGGTTGGGGTGGTGTGGGGCGTTTGGGGGAGGGGGGATTGAGGTTGGGTATGGGGGCTGAATTGGAAACAATTTTTTTTGGTGGGGGGAGGGGGGGGGGGGGTGGACCGGGGGCTGAGGTTGTTAATAGGGATAAGGGTGTTCTGTATAGTGTGTTGGTGGGCAATGAAGCCTGTGGCCTCGTGGTTAAGGGCACTGGATTCGTGGTCTGTGGGTAAAGCTGCGGGTTGTGGGTTCGAGTCCAGCGGGGGTCATGGTGCTTGTGCCCTTGAGCAAGGCACTTTGTCACTCATTGCTTCTCTCCACCTAGGAGTAAATTGATGCCTGTGAGGGCAGAGATGGTTATTGTGATTGAATAAGCTTGGGCCTAATAGGCAGCATCCAGCCAGCTGTATACTCCCGAGGGAGCTGAGATGATATTTGGAATGTTTAATTGGCCCAATGATCAGGGGCAATAATAATACTGTAAGCGCTGTGATTTAGTTTACTAATAAGAGCGTTCTTAAATGCCGATTATTATTATAATGAAGCATGTTTGTTTTCAAAGTGGATTCGTGCTGATAAAATCTCTAGACAGTGAAAGGCTCACATATATTCCAATCCCTTCGCTTCTTGCCGGACCTCCGATTCCCAACCATTTACTTGCTTCAATTACTTGATTTCAAAGGGTTATGTTCTGGATATTTTCTTCCGTGGAGGTCCGACAGCAATGAAGATGTGCTCCTTGCATGACGGCACAGGAGATGCCTCAGACGGGATGGTGTCTCTAGTAGCTGGCATAGTGTTCCTCAGCTCAAGGTAAAAATTAAGAAATTATGATGTAATAATCCAACAACCGTAATTATCGGCCATTAATGGAGTGTACTGGTCCAATCATTACAGTGTTCGACATCTTGTGCGGTGGTACGTGGGTTCAAACCCTGACAGGGAACACGGTGCTTGTGTTCTTGGGCAAGACACTTTACTACAATTGCCTCTCTCCACCCTGGAGTGTAAATGGGTACCTGTGATGAAGGTAGAGACCACATTGCGCTGATCTCGAGCTGCTGCAGAAAAAAATATGTTTGCATGGCCTAATAAATTGTAGGGGTAATAATTGTGCAGAGCTTTGCGACTTTTGGTATGAAGTGCTTTATGAGCGCCACATTATTAATATCATTGTTATTATTATGCTTACATGCAATTCTTACACAAATGAAAAATTGGTTGAGTTCGGGGAACCCCTTTATGGTAGAAGCATTTAGTGATGACATCCATTTTCATTTCCAGTTCAATGTGTATTCCACTTACCAGTCATTCTAACAACAAGCACTCTCTTTGAATCTTTTAAATAGTGTTTCTTTGGCTTTGCTATCAATTGTATCATTGCCAAAAATTTGACAAGTTTGAAATCATTGCTTTTAAAAAATTAAAAAATACACATTGCTCGTTAAAAACAAAATTCTTCAGGCTTTTACTGGGAGCGAGAGATTGTATTTTTTTATTGCCTCTGATGAACATTTTGGGGGCTTTTTTTTTTTTTTTTTTCCCCCAGAGCTGCAGAGAAGTTTTTATTCCTTCATGTACTACCTGGCTTGGATGCTTGCACCTATATGGGTTTGGATAGTGGTGTTAAACCTTTAGAGGTAAGATCAACAAAATATTAAAAAAAAAATGTTTTTTTGGTGTGCTCACTATGCTCCATCTGTTTGGCTCAGTTTGTTTGTTTGTTTGCCCGGTGCTGTACCGACTAAGCTGTATTCTCTTTGAGTGATCCCCATTTGCTATTTCGCAGGTCTGTATCTTGACTTTGAGTGTGATCCCTGGCTGTATGGCATATACAGGTTTACTGCTTCTGAATTTCGCCCATTGAACAAAGATATTGACTAATTGGGGAACTGCCAGCATAGGGCTGGATAGCTCAGTTGGTAGAGCACCGGAACAGCAATCCGGAGGTCACAGGTTCAAACCCCGCTCCAGTCAATTTCTTTGTTCAACTTTTAAAAAACCCTATAGTTTCCTGGTTTGCTCACTTTCATGGAATGTTTGTTACCCCTTTTTTCCCTTTCCAGCTTTCGTTGTTCTTTGACGTGCTCCTGTGTCTTGCCAAGGACGTAACTAAAGAAGAATTTGTGTCTGGTGAGAAGGGGATACCTTACGATAAGATGCGTCACAAAAGAGCGTGCGAGCAAGGAATCGTACGCAACGCGAGAGCACAAATGTGGGAGAAACTACGGGGAATACCAATGAAAGCAAGTAGGTATACACTTCTTGTGATCACAGGTTTGGGGGGCATGGCATTTGTGGGGGTGGGGAGATTTTGACTAGAGGGAGGGTGGGGGAAGGTTGGCTTGGGGAGGCGAAAAGTTGGGATGGAGAGGGTGCTAGGAGGGGGAGGGGCTGGGGAGGGAGACGGTTGGAGTGGAGGGGGGGGGAAGGTGGGGAAGATTGGGGTGGGGAGGGGCTTGGGAAGGTTGAAGTGGGGAGGTGAAAATTGTATCTTATAATATTTTTTTTCACATAAGTGATGAATGAGAAATCCCTAATCCTTCAAAATCTAACTTGCTGTTTTTAGAGGAAATGCAGGATTAAGGAGGGTAGATCCCAGCTACTGTTACTATACAAGGGCCAAATATTTGCCAGTGGTTTCCTGCAACTAATTAAGTGGAAGATATTTACAGATTCATAAAACCTTTTCTTTTTTCTTTCTGATGTAGTGTTGGTTCCAGATGGCAACCATCAATACCTTACGACTTCTCCCAGGGAACATCTGAAGCGTGCAATATCCTGCCCACTATACAGCGATGAAGATGAACATTTCAACTGGGCCAACATCACACATGCATTCATTCAGGTGTAGTGTGATGATCGCAAATAAAAAGCCGTATCCTCTCTGAGTGATCTCTGTTTGCTATTTCCCAGGTTTGCAGCTACTGTTGCTGGCATCGTTACTTTGGGCCTGATCCCTGATGGCTACATGTCTTGTACTGGTTTATAGCTTCTGACTAGCGACCTCACATAAAGACATTAATTGGGAGATCTCCAGCGTAGGGCTGGATAGCTGAGTTGGTAGAGTGCCGGTGTCACATGAAAATCCGACTCCTATGAAAATCGGATTCCATTTTCCCTTTTATTGGTTAATCCCTCGCACGTGACAGGTCACTCTCCCGAAACGATCCTAAAAATAGCATAGTATCGTACCCACGCGTGCGCAATACTACCAATGAGTCCACATTTCATGGAGTCGGATATTCACGCTACACCGGTACGGTAATCCGGAGGTCGCAAGTTCAAACCCCGCTCTAGTAAATGTCTTTGTTTGACCTTTATTCAGTCAGATTTGTTAAATAATTTTTTTGTTCAATAGAGTCGCATTTCTGAAAAGACGATGTTAGTGAAACTTACATAATTTCAAAATGAAATAGCTTCATGTATTGTGGACCCCTTGCAAAATGTTGTCTTTATTGTGACATTCCAGAACCTCGCTGTTAATACACTTCCTAAGTATTTCAAGTTTCTTAAAGGGAATATACAACATTTGCAAACATCGAAAAATAAAACTATCAAGTTTTTACGAAATACCTTACTTGGATGTTGGTAAATGACAGTCAAAAGCATCCTGTAAAATTATGGCTCCTGGTGTGAAGTCATTTTCAAGAAATTGGCATTTTTGTAAACAGTGGTCGGCCGATCACCATTGGAAAAACCTAACTATTTTTCAACCTCTGCTTCAAATTTACCATTTTTTCAGTCCAAATTTTGTTTGCTATTGGTAACATGTTCATGAACGGGTGCAGGCCAGCTACACTGATTCCCTTACCTTACAATTTTCCGGCATCTATAAATTGATCCATTTCATCTTAAGTGGAGTCAGGGAACCAGACTACTTGAACATTTTCGTTTTTCTTGGTTTTTCCAGCATTTTCGAGCACAAAACTTCAAACATGTCAGTGTAACAATATTTGATCTGTTATACTAACCCCTCAAGTAGTTCATTTCTTAAAATTACAGCAAAAGCCAATGATGTACATTCCCTTTAACGTGTTGACTTGCAGGAGACGTGCAGTGTCGAGGAATCAGCAGTAGTAACAAATGCTATCTTAGAGGGTGATGTGACCATCGGAGCACAATGCGCAATCTCACACTCTCACCTACAGGTTAGCTATCTGCCCGTACTTACTCTTCGGGCGCCTCCGAATTACACGACTATGGCTAGCAGTAATACACACAGCTATGGGAAGTGGCTTCCACAGGCGCATGCACGATTGCAAGCCATAGCCAGGCGATTTGGATGTGGCTATAAATCTAAAGGCTTTTTGTACATGTTTTTAAAGCCTGTTTTCTTCCAGTAAAGCCTTGATTTTGAAGAAACTCTTTTCCTAAAAGGAAACTATGGAAGTTGGTCAAACTTTGACTTTGTTTTGGAATTCAAATTCCAAGTGGAGTAACATTTATTGTTTTTTTTCTTTATTTACCAATAATTTCCATTGATTTCTCTTTGACAGGGAGAAATACAAATTCCAAAGGAGTCCATCCTCGTCAATATCGACTGCAAAGCTTCCAAGGTAAATATTTGGAATGTATAAAATCAGGGAATTTGGGGAAAAATTCCAAAAAGCAGGGAAAATGCTGGGAATTTGACAGCGATCCAGAAGGGAAAGGTCTTCACCAGTTTGGTGTATGTGCGTCTTGTGCCATGTGTCCCAAGTTGTGTCCATTGACTGACTGGCTATGGTGGTTTTTTTAGTGTTTATTGAAGTGTGAATATTATATACCTGTCTAGACAATAACAATCGGCTGTGCTATGTGCACTTAACCACCTCTGGACTTCCCAGCAACCTTGTTAAGGTGAAAATACTTCTCATTGAATTTTGGAAATATCTCCGGGAAAACTCAGGTAATTTTGTGTTTTCATAAAGTGCTGGGAACCCTGAAAATACTGAATTGCGGCAAGGTTGAGCTTTTTTTTAGACCAACTAAAAGTCTGCAACTAATTCTATTTTGTGTTTTGCTTAATTTGTTTATTTCAGGCATTGCAACAACACTCACTGTCACCTGGTATTTTCCTGCAAGCATTTCGCCTCAGACTCGGTGGAAGTCAGAAACTTAAATGCGAAGTCTACACAGTGATGGGCAGATTTGATCAGTTGGAGGTGAGTTCCCAACATCCCTGGGAAAGCAGGCCATCTACTCTGCATGCACGTAGTCTATTAGCCGATGAGCAACCTGCGATGGGCTGGCTTTCTAACTTGGGGAGCGCCGTGGTCCAATGGTTATGGTGTGCGACTCAGATGCCGAATCCTGACGGGGAACATGGTGCTTGTGTTCTTGGGCTAGACACTTTACTAAGTTGAAACTAGCACGCTTTTATTAATATGCAAACCTTTTAGTGGTTTAGTGCATGCAGCTGGAATGTCGCTCGCATCTTGGAATAGCGCAATACACAGGGTGCGACACGGACCGTGCGATACGGTATAATATCACACTGTTGTTGACATGGATCGACCAATCAGGATAGAGGATTCAAGTTAGCTTGAAGATAGTAATTATTATTATTTTTTACATATTCTTAGTCGTGTCATGCACAACAGCTGTGGCAGTCTGCATTCGATCGCTTGGGCGGCTCAATGTCCCCCATGGTGGATTACGACAATGATGATGTGTCATGCCAGAAAATGATATTTAAATGAGCATAGAGTTATTTCAAATCGTTGTGGATACTTTTTAACTTGAGATTTACTTGACGACTGTATTCTGATTTGTAGACGGCCTACGTGAAAGGAACAAGCACATTCTGTAACTCACCGTGGATAGTCTTCCTGACGCGCACAGGAATCGATAGAGAAGATCTCTGGCCGACCAATCAGGTAAGAGAACAAATCTCTTAAGAAAATTGATTGTCAAAACCCCTGAGAATTTTATAAAGTTTGTTGAAGACTTTCCCTGAAATTGTTAATTTTTCTTACTTTGCAATAAACACCAGTCTTAATAAATCCTATGAAAAATTTAGTTCTTGTAAAATTCCCTTAGGTGCAATATCTTTAGCTGGTTGTTGAACCAGCTAGTTTGGCAAGATACGGTGTCCTACTTTAAAGATAAGCAATAAATATGAACAAATATTTCTTTCCACCCCCAACTATTTTCGTCCCCGAATAAACAATTGTGGTTTACATTTGATTCTATTGCTCAAAATAGCTGATTCACGTTCAGCTAGATCCTGCAAACATGATATTTTATAAGGAAAATTTTATACTTTGCATAAAGGTGTATTGGTTCTTACATTTTGATATATAACCTGGCATTCATAATGAGCAAGAACATTTCTTGCTTAAAAAATTTGGTTTTCCACACAATTTTTCATCCATGAATTTTTCTGTCATTTGTTTAATATCTCAATGTGTTTTCTTAACTCTCTTAAACCTCACAGACAGACTACGATCGCACTCTCTTCAATGCCAAACTCTTTCCAGTCTGGAACCTTCAGCAGGACATAGGCATTGCAGAGACCCTATGGCTAGAAGGTGGGGAACAAGACATGGATATGCTCACACGATGGCGCTCCTCGTGGCGACTGTCCTTTGAGGACATTTTGTCGTGTATTGACCTCTCTGCAGAGTTATCTCGTCGAAGGTAATGAATAAGGAGAGATGCTTGCATCCAATGTCCCTGAAAATGGAACATTCCAGAGTTGGTCAGACGCCGCCGCCCACCTTTGGTTTATGTCAATTTCTCTCAGGGATCACCTGACCAAAAGTCATGATCTCATTGGTGAATGTGCACTGTTTGATTGACAGGCAGGAAAAGTCCATTATGAACCCCAGTTTGTCAAACATGAATATGTATGAGTTACAATTCATACATATTCATCATCCAGGGTCACTCTTTAATTCCCAGGGATCTGTTCATTGGTGAATGTGCACTGTTTGATTGACAGGCAGGAAGAGTCCATTGTGATCCCAAGACTGTCAATCATGAATATGTATGAAGTACAAGTCATGCATATTCATCATCCAGGGTCACTCTTTAATTCCCAGGGATCTGTTCATTGATGAATGTGCACTGTTTGAATGACAGGCAGGAAGAGTCCATTATGAACCCAAGACTGTCAATCATGAAGATATGTATGAGTTACAATTCATACATATTCATGATCCAGGGTCACCCTTTTATTCCCAGGGATCTGTTCTACAGCGGAGGCCAGCGTAGGGTCAGAGATGTCTTACTGCGAGGAGGCAATCAAGTCTTGATGCCGTTCTTCAAGAGTGCTACTGTGGAGGGCTACGCTCAACAGCTATTGGAGAACATTGATCAAGGTATCGATTATCAGGAATTTGTTGAGAAAGTATATCACAGGGTATTGATTATATATTTTGAGTAATTACAATAAATATTGATATCAAAAATGTATCATTTGGATATGATAACTAAATACTATATTTCCACACTTTATACATGTGGCACTATTTTTTTTGTAAGAAGTGGAGATCTGAGATTAGTTATTGAAAATATTGATCAGTTCTTGATCGGATCCATTGATTTAGTATTGGAGGGTATTGATGAAAATGATTTTAAAGTTAACTGTAGGATTTGATTCATTTGAATCACATTTAGTTTAAAATGTTTCAGCAATGCAAGAGGAACAAAGGAAAAGAGATCCATAAACGGTTGTATCACAAAAGAAAAGCAACTGAAAACATCCATACGTGGTTCAAAATTATGCATAAAGATTTTCAAGAGCAATGTTTTTGACTATTCCTTTTCTTTGATGTTATTGCCAGGAATATGTGACAGTAACTCGCCTAGCATAGCAGCCCGCGGCTTAGCTTTCATCGCTAACATCCTAGGAGCAATGGCTGGTGGGAAGGGAGGCTTGCGAAGCGGACCGGCCGCTAACGCTGCCTGGCAAAGTGCCTTCAAGCTTCTAGAGGTAAAAATCCTAACAAGGATCCTTACAAATCCTGATCTCTATAAATCTGTAAAAAAATCATAAAATATACAGCCGTTTCATGACCCGTATACAAGAAAACAATGGAGCCATTTCAGTAAAGAATATGCACGATCTCAATCACAGGAATACAGTTTTTGAGGAATAAAAAGTACTACATTTGTATTTTGTGCTAAACTGCTCCGTAGCCATAGGCAAACTAAATATAAAGGGTGAATAAATTAAACCATTCTAATTCATGAGTTTCTGAACTTTCCAAAAGGCCATATTCAAAGGCCTAAACATGTCATATTTTGAAACTTTAATTTGCCCTTTAACTGACATTATGAATTACTTTATACTCAGAGCTTTTGAGAAAAAAATGTAAGCTTACTCGGGTGGGACTTTAACCCACAATCTCCTGCTTAGTAGTGCAGCAGACGTCTTACCACTCGACCATCGAGCTTACCGGGGTCGGCTGGCTGCTTCCTATCTGATATAGCAGTGATGCCACAGTCGATGTTTTTTTATCAAATCTTGCATCAGCATATTATACTTGACTGTTTACCCCCCCCCCCCCCCATTGATGTGAAATTCGGGCCGAAGTCGTAAATCATTTATTTGTTCATTTTTCTTTTTGGCCAGGAGGGTAAGCTACACGAAGGCGTGAAGGCTCTAGCAAGGGAACGTCAGCAGTGGTTGAATCGACCAGACAGACTCGTCAGGGCAGCCAGGCACTACGAAGGAGCCGATCAGATATTTATCAGACTTGCTGTCATGTCGGCCAGAGAGGTAAGGTGGTCATGCTGATTTGGGTTGTATTTTTTTTGCATTCAGAAATCATTTTTTTTCCCCAGTATTTATCACTTATATTTACCTTGGATTCACATCTTGTATTACTTGTTTGATAAATTTGCCAAGAAAACATGTGTTAAATATGTGTTAACATGTGGGTTTGGCTAGCTATTTTTAGAAATAGTTAACAACGCTCTTTTAACTTCTATTTTGAAATACTTACTATTATTGTTCTTATAATTTTGTCACATGCATAACAATGCTAGGTATTCCGGAACCCTTATTCCTAGTCATTGTTGTTAGGAACTGTTTGGAATCCTCAGAATCCCCCACCTAACGGGATGCCAACATTGGCAACATTCTTTGTAGTCTTCAAGGGGCACCAAATACCAAATAGTTACAACCTGGGTCTACCCTCCGCAAACCTGAACAATTTTCCAAAAAATCTTTGGAGGAGCTGAGAGGGTTAGGGTTAAGAACAATCAGAATTCGTATGGAATCTCTCACAGCTAGTACATCAAAATATTTGATTTGACGCTGAGGGGTTTATGAAAATTAAAAAATAAGTGGATCCCATCTCGATCAATCCTGCGTAATCCTTCGAAATTTCCTGCTTAATTTTTTTAAAGATCTGAGAATTAAAGTAAAACTGTTAAAAATGTGCAATAAAGTTGTTGAAACCAGCTCATTGAAAAATGTTGATTTGATATTCCTTTTTTTCCGCAGTATATTTTCACAAGTCCTGGGGAATCTCCGCCAATGAACAAATGGGTGACGGCCACCTGCCCAGGGAGAATGGACGTAGCCGGGGGATGGTCCGACACTCCACCAATCACGTACGAGCATGGCGGCGCCGTGGTGGATGCCGCAATCCGATTGGACGGCAAGAAACCAATAGGAGCCCGAGCTAGGAAGATTACAGAGTAAGACCACATCTGTGGCTGTGTCTGAATTACTTGGCTGTGGCTTGAATGTACACACGCGCCTATGGAAGCGGCTGCAGCCACTTCCCATAGACCCATGCGTTAGACATAGCCATGTAAATCAGATGCAGCCTCTATCTCTTGGCTGGGGCTATGTCTAGACCATATAGTGCAACCAAGTGAGAACATGCTGACAATTCGGGCGATTCACAATGCAGTGCGCCACCAAGAGTTTGCCAGGGAGAGTTCATTTTCCCAGTGCATTGTGGGAGAGAGTCATCAAATTGGCAGCGCAGGACATTTGAAATTGTTCATTTTTCTGGTCAGTAGTTTCGTAAACGTATGATTCGAGTATCTGTTTTCCCTTTCTTTTCTGTTTCAGTGTTTGTCAGTATGGTATTTTTTTAGTAAGGTAGTGCCCCAAACAAATTAGCTCAAGTTGTCTACTGACACTCATTAAAATGGGCCATGTTTTGTTGACCGTAAACTTGAAAAATGGACTCTCCATGGCAAACTCTTGGTGGCGCACTGCATTGTGAATCGCCCAGTTTCTGGACATGTCCTAAAATTTTCCGGAATTTGTCAATGTGCAGAGTTTTCTTATCACAAGTCAAATACTTTCTGTAAGTCTGAAACTTTTTCATAAGTAAAGAAATCAGTGATATTTTGTATGAGAGTTTGTAATTTGTTCTAATATTTCTGCAAAGACCTTTTAACTTACATTATGAATGCAAATACAGGTAAATAGTAATCTGTGACTAGGCATAAAGGGAGATTTACCCAAAGTATCATGTTAATTATGCAAACTTTCTTATGAATATGACATCAATCTGCCAACATTTAAACTATGACATCAAAACGTCTCAAGACTTTCCAAAAACTTTGGCCAAGAAATTGTTTTTTTTTCCTCACTTGCAGACCCCACCTTGTTCTTGTCTTAGGCAGCGATCAGGAACACAGTGTTCAGATTGTCTGTAAGGAGCTGTCTGACGTCGCTGATTACAATAACCCACAGTCTTCAGGTAACTTACTTTCTTAGGATTTTATTTTTTAAGTAACGAATCATTATCATTAATCCTAGTCCTTCCAGAGCCTTCAAGATCCACTTGGAGGTTTTGGAAGATTTTGCAGGATTGAGGGCGGTAGAGCGCAGCCATTGTACATCTTGGTAAGATCAAGGGATATAGGATCATTTTGCATTTACCCTAAAAGTAACCTACCAAATTATTATCAAAAAGCTTGAGAGTCAGGAATGTACTGGTACTAATCACCCCATGAAATTATTCTGTGTGGATTGCTGTCATTTAGGAGAAATTAAAAAATGTAGGTGATTTTCAACGATCAGCCAGTTGACTGATTTTTATCCCTCAGCCGAGAGGCTCGAGGGGTATTGTCATCTGCCTGGAACGGACGTCCGTCTGTCCGTCCGTTCTGACCATACCACCCTTGTGGGGTGATGTTCCTTTCAGGACACATCACCCCACTATTTTCACAATAGAAAAACATCACCCCAGAAGAGAATCTTTAGAAAAAGGGATAATGGGAACACAATGCTATCACCCCACAATTCCGTCTGGCTGGAATGTCCATCCGTCCGTCCGGGTAGCTTAGTTTCCGGATGATAACTTGAGTTAGAAATGTTGTTTGGGGTTGTAACTTCGGTAGGGGGTTGCCCTTAGGAGTAGGCAAGTTGGGATTGGTTTTGGGGTCAAAAGGTTAAAGGTCAAGGTCACCATGGTGAGTTAAAGGTAAATGGTTTCCGGATGATAACTTGAGTTAGAAATGAGATTTTGATGTCTAACTTTGGTAGGGGGTTGCCCTTGGGAGTAGGCAAGTTGGGATTGGTTTGGGGGTCAAAAGGTCAAAGGTCAAGGTCACTGCGGTGAGTTAAATGTAAATGGTTTCCGGATGATAACTTGAGTTAGAAATGAGATTTCGGTGTCTAACTTTGGTAGAGGGTTGCCCTTGGGAGTAGGCAAGTTGGGATTGGTTTTGGGGTCAAAAGGTTAAAGGTCAAGGTCACCATGGTGAGTTAAAGGTAAATGGTTTCCGGATGATAACTTGAGTTAGAAATGAGATTTTGATGTCTAACTTTGGTAGGGGGTTGCCCTTGGGAGTAGGCAAGTTGGGGTTGGTTTTGGGGTCAAAAGGTCAAAGGTCAAGGTCACCGTGGTGAGTTAAATGTAAATGGTTGTTGAATGATAACTTGAGTTAGAAATGAGACTTTGGTGTTTGACTTAGGTAGGGGGTTGCCCTTGGGTACAGGCAGGTTGGGATTGGTTTTGGGGTCAAAAGGTCAAAGGTCAAGGTCACCGTGGTGAGTTAAATGTAAATGGTTCCGAATGATAACTTGAGTTAGACATGAAATTTTGGGGTCTATCTTCATTAGGGGGTTTCCCATTGGTACAGGCATGTTGGGACTGGTTCTGGGGTCAAAGGCCAAAGGTCAAGGTCACCGTGTTGAGTTAATGGTTTCCAGATGATAACTTGACTCTGGCTGAGGGGTTTCAACAGCAACGCTGTTATTTTTGGAAATTAAGAGCACTTTGGCCAAAATGATCAAAAGGTTTTGCATGGTTTTTCGCTGTTTACTCGAAAAGTGTAACATCCACTGAGCTGGAACTTCAACAGGTTAGGTTTGGAGCAATCTCTTTTGGAGTTTGAGTGGAAACGAACAAACTGCACGAAAAGCAAATGATCCCGTATGACTTTGAAGAACAAAGAATGTGCCAAAGGAAGGGATGTTGATAATACTGGGGATAAAAAAGCTGTTTTCATTCAAGCAATGTTTATATTTTTCACGTTCTTTCTTTGCTAGTCATACTCTGACCATAACAGTGTTGGAGTTGAGACCTCAAATCTGAGTACAGAGTACTCTGAGTACTTTAGGGGCCGAGTCCAGGGCCGAGTCCAAGTACACTGTGACAAGTCCGAGTCCAGGCAAAGCACTGAGTACGAGTACATTCAAGGCTGAGTACTGGGCCAAGGCTGAGTACCTTAGTCCAAGTTCGAGTACGAGTACAATACCAAAAAAGTACAGAAATAAATAAATAATAAATAAATAAATAAAAATATATAGATAGATAATTGAACCCAACCCAACCCAATTATATCCGAAACTGATTCAATCATTCATACAGCCATTAAGCTAAGAAAAAAATTGCAGTGATGTAGAACATGTGATATACCCAATTCTAGTCCACATGTACATGTACGTGGAAAGGCTTTGTGGTCTCTCTAAATTAAATTGCTGTAAAATTCTCGAGATTTCCCCAGGCAACAGACAATACATGTCGCTTCTAGGATTATGCTTGGGAAAAATCCCGAAATTGTAACCGTGATGCAGCGAGCGAACACAAAAAGCATGGGCTTGGCAGGCTCACGATTCACGAATCCTCAGTACTATGACTTTGAATGATAGTAACATTGGGAGGAAGGGAACTAAATTAGGCCGGAATCAAAGATATAGAATAAATAGACTATATCGGCAGCGCGTGCATGCGCGCGGCCTTACCTGGAGGGTCACGTGCACTGATCTCTATATAAAGACTGGATAGCGTACAGATAGCCTCACAAGAACGCCATTTAACCCTACAATTTAGACATCTTGAGGTCGGGGGAAATTGTCAGGTCAGGGAACCAGACAGTGTGCATCGGCACCCTGGTCTACAAGTGGATTGGGTTTTCAGTCCCTACCTGATTTTGTGGGTTTCCCCCAGAATATTCTTCTGAGGTTTTCCTCCCGCCTCTAAAATTGTCATTTCTTCTTATTGTCTTCTCTCTACAGGTTTCTTCAGGCTTTCGAGCTACTAGGGCCTTGGGCATGCACTTTTTGAGGAATCCTTGGTTTCATTACCAGAAATAAATAAATAATTTAGTAATTGTGTACTTCGTTTCGTATGAAAAAAAAAAGGATTAAATGCTTCAGATTTCAAATATGCACTTGTATTTTTTCAAGGCTGGGTTGGGGCAACCTTGAAATTATAAAGTAAATAATTCTGCACAAAAAGTACTGCATTTATTAATGTTAATCCCCCCAAAATAATATTAACCAAATTCATAAAGTACAAATGATACCATATTCATAGATACCATATTCGTATGAATAAAACATGCCATTTGCCTTTACTACCAATTTTTAAGTATTTACATGCATCTGTATGAATGAAAAGCAAACGCTTTTACTGAAAACCATTTGCTAAAATCGGAAAATTATTACTTTTCACCTTTTAGCTTTTGCTACACAATAATCGTTTACTTCGTTTTGTATGGAAAAAAAAAGGATTAAATGCTTCAGATTTCTAAAATTTACTTGTCATAATTATTTCAAGGCTGGGTTGTTGCTACCTTGAAAATATTCAAGCACATAAATTTCCGCAAAAATTACTGCATTTATTAATGTTGATCGCGAAAAACAAATAATACCATAGTTCGTACTAATAAAAAACTGGCATTTGCATTTTAATACTGCCAATTTTTAAGCATTTTACTCGCATCTGAATAAATAAATTTAAAATAAGCAAACACTTATACTGAATTTTGCTCTTGAGTAAACGGCCTGCACAATGTAAAGGTTTACAGGTGTATAAGTTTGCTGAAAATAAAATTATCGCAACCGAAATGGAAAGCGGCATGTGTGTTCGCAGCGCGTACATACTTGGTGCGCATTTCCAGCTTCGCGCACGTTGAGCTAGGTTAATTAATGTTATTTTTTTGCGCGTCCATGGCACACATTTATCGCACAGATAATTGGGGCGTGTGCACGCACTGCCAATCTAGTCTTTTTATTCTATATCTATGGCCGTAATTAAGACTGCAACTGCGCCACCGGGCTCCCGTTGCGTCCAGGATGAGCTATAGAATCGATCTTCAAAAAAAGTACTCGATTTGTACTTCCGAGTACCGGATTCGATTACCGAGTCCAAACCAATGAATCCGTGCTAAAACTTCGAGTACAAAGAATTGAGTATGGGTCGAGTCCAAATAATTTTGGAGTACTGATAGCCGAGTACGGGCCGAGTATACTTGCGTGTACTGGAGTTGCACTCGAGTACGAGTACGAGTACTCCAACATTGGACCATAATAGAGATTAGTAAATTTGAAAAAAAATTTAAATGAAATTCAAATTGAAAAAATTGTCATTTACCTCTGTTCCTGAATTAAATCTGCAACATTACGTAAGATACATGACTGCATACAGGACTGTTACCCTCTGCATTTGTTACAATTTTTTTGCAATTCTGTACAATCTACAGGTGCCTTGTTGAAAGCAGTGGTTCATTGCGCAGAGGTGATCAGTCTACCGTCATCCCAGTCTTTACAGGAGCAACTGATGAGTAAATACGGAGGAGGAATCGAGCTGAATACATGGTCTGATCTCCCACAAGGTTCAGGTCAGTTAGTTTCGCGGGTTCACCATGGAATTAATCTCTGCTTTGAAGAAGTGCGGTTCTATAGAGAATCTGTGGAGATAATTTTTCTCAACATTTTTGGAGAGTATACCTACTTGTCCTTAGGAGAATTGACTGGTTTGCTGGATGCTGAGGGGAAAAGGTTTTACTAAGGGGAGGATGCAAAGTTCAACAGGCGGTAACTCACAGTTTTCCTTGGGGTTTATGACTTTTTACTGGGTTTTACAGGTTACCTCGAAGTTTAACCTCCAGTTACCGCTTGCTTAATTGTGAAAACAGAGGGTAACTTAAGGTTTACCTGGAAGTTTTACAAGATTTTACTGGGTTTTACAGGTTACCTTGAGGTTCAACCTCCAGTTACCCCTTGCTTAATTGTGAAAACAGACGGTAACTCAAGGTTAACCTGGAAGTTTTACAAGGTTTACTGGGTTTTACAGGTTACCTCGAGGTTCAACCTCCAGTTACCCCTTGCTATGGTTTGAACTTGGTTGTTGGATCTTCGCACAACCATGACCTTCGTTTAAATCTGATGTCAGATTTTAACTGACCAACTGATCCCAGCATGGTCGAGTGGTAAGACGTCTGCACTTGTAAGCAGGAGGTCGTGGGTTCGAGTCCCACTAAGCAGGCCAGTGATATCTTTCTTGTGGATAGCATTGAGTATACAATACTTAGAAATTTACATTGGTCATGTTGGTCAAGGGCAAAACTCGAAATCATTAAAAATTTACAACTGGCCGAAACGAAATAATACAAGTGATGAATGTTATTGTGATTCTTTCTCTGCAGGTCTCGGCACAAGTAGTATTCTGGCAGGGGCGGCCATTGCTGTCCTGTGGCGTGTGTCAGGACAGGCGTACGACCACTCCTCTCTTATTCATGCGGTAAGTTTTACATCTTGGCAGTTTCGCTATCGGTCAGTCAGTCTCACTTCTCCGTGTGAAGGCACTGTTGAAGGTTCACTATAGTGTGACCAGTCCACCTATTAATAATACGGTCAACAGGTCCCTCGACATAATCCTACTAGATCTCTTACGAATCGTACCACATACTTCATGTAACAATTTCTGTAGCTCTATATTCCCATTGAACAAAACTTTACCTTTGTGGTAGTACGCCCTCTAGGATGACGCTTAATGCAAATAAATTCCGTGCAGCGATATGCAAATTGATACCCACATGTTGAACAGTCAGCTTTGCGAACGTCCAGCTACCCTTTCATAGTCTTCATGGCCCCAAATTTTTATATTGTTTTGCACATCTGTTCTTGGAGCCCTCTTACGTATCATTGGGAGTGGGCCAAGCTAGATAGTTTCCTGTGCATGAACGCACAACTATTAGGCAAAACAGCTCCAAACTTTGTCTAGAACACATCAAATTCAGCGACACTTTCGTTATATGCATTCTCTCACACTCGGGTGTGGAGTGCTGGGAACTGGTGTGGCACAGATCGTGGAAGGCTGCGTTTTGAACCATATTCAGTCTTGAGAGTACATATATCATCCACCATCTTGACCTGGAACAAGGTTCTTTACATCACAAAGTGTTGGCCTATCTGCCTCATTTGACTGTTGTTTAAATTGGTAGTTTAAAATTGTAATTTAAAATTGTCATTTAAAATTGATTGTAAATTGATTTTTAACTGGTCGTCTCAATTTTTGCTTATTGTTTTACAGTCACAATTAAAACTTTGAATTGTCAGTAAACTTCTGTATCTGACACATTGCTCTAAGGTCTTTGCATTATACACTGCTGTTATCCTTATTCATCTCTAGCATATTTCCCTTCATCTTATGCTGGAAAATTCTTTTTTATTTTTTTATATTACCACTTGGTTACACTTAAATATAAGCAGGCTCAGTAATTACATGGAGAAGCTACGAGTAGTATATTTGCGCTGCGACTGAAACATGATTACTCCAGAATAACATTTGTGTAGACTATACCCTAATTGACCTATCGCCGTTTGCGAGTTAGCCACGCCCCTTAGACAGCCCTATGGAGTTGGTGTACACTAAATTTTGTTTGTCTCAGATTTTGCGGGTTCCGCGTCCATTTGTATATCATGTAATTTAAAAAAAAAAAGAAGCTAATTCATAATTTAAATGCTGCATTCAACTTCCTTTAGTTTCCTCTGTGCTTTGCTATAAATCTTTCTAAATTCCCTCTTGGGCGTTGGCAGGTGCTACTTGTCGAGCAGATGTTAACCACAGGTGGCGGATGGCAGGACCAGGTTGGAGGTAAGTGATTATAACACTTGTATGTGGGAGCCATCTTGGTCTGGTTCCTGGACTGCAAGATATTGTTGCAGAGCTGATCATATCTTGATGAATGCGCTTGCTTACTTGCTTATAGTTGCTAGTAAGCTTTGCTGTGTCTTTTTCTTAACAACAGTAACTGAGTTCAAGAAAAATGTGTGAACTTTAGTAGTTAAATTTTAGAAATTTTATTTTGTTAACGTCATGTAGGTTTGACCCCTGGTATCAATATCGGACACTCTGAGGCCAAGCTGCCCCTCAAAGTGGAGATCACCCCCATCCCAGTCGATGAAGAGACCCGATGCAAATTCGACCAGCACTTCTTGCTTGTGTACACCGGCAAGACTAGACTAGCCAGGTCAGTCCTTTCCGAGATCCAACCTGTGTTTTTTGTGCTTAATCGTTTGCTAGAAATCTGTTCTTACTGGAGCAGAACCATTCGGCTTTTTGGAATATGGCACAACGTACATGAGTGCAGTATTTAGTTTTGGTTTTAAGATTTGGATGAATACAGAAGATGTGGTTTTTAACTCAGCTCACAAGAGATGGCCAAATAGCGCCATCTATAGTTTATGCACAGAGCCCAATAAAATGTCATTTGAGGAAATCAAAAGATTGTCCTTTCCGTTTTGACTGTTAAGTAAATTTTTTTTTTTTTACCAATGCAGGAACTTGTTGCAAGATGTCGTCAGAAACTGGTATGCAAGGTCGCCGTATATCGTGGAGAATTGCGACAATCTGACAAAGAATGCATGGGAATGCAAGAAGGCGTTTGCAGAAGGTATGCACGTTTTTTTTTTAGGATGGGGTTAGAAACCAGGAGCATTTGATGTATTCTTCAAGATTCCAACACAAAATTCACATCAACTGAATACTTTAAGAAACATTCAAGATAAATTTCATCCGAATTCAAACTTGACTGGTTCCAAAGAAAGGACACGAGCAATTTTCAGCCACATGAATGAATTCTTAGGTAAAACTTTGGAAGCCTGCACAGCACTGACAAAGCAGCAGAAAAAAAGTTTAAAGCACATTGTGTTTCCATTGAAAGCCCTCTATTTCCAAAATTTGTTTTAACATGTTATGTCTTGCAGCGCCCTCTTGTGATATGATTCTCAGTTTGTCACTCGGGAAAATAATTCTCATTCATGGTTATGTAACCAATTGCAAACTCAACTAAAATCGATCCATTCGGGGCAGTTTTTGAACTAAAAAAATACTTTTTTTTTCTCGCGATGGTTTTGTCTCAACCATCCCCAAGAAATTACGGTAACTCCTCTTTTCTCAGAAAATGGCAACATTCTAGCACAATGATTGCACCGGATGCTTGATACTATTATACTATTATTTACTTACAGCAAAGTAGGGTATTTCATATTTTGGCAGTTTCATTTTTGATGTTTGTAAATTGTGTCTATTATTTTTAATAAACAGGATTCTTCTAGTGTTTATTTACAGAAATTTGTGTCATTACAGCGCCGTTATTTGCCCCAAACGATGGACTATTCAGCCCTTGCTGCCAGTTTATGAAATTTACTTTGATTTTTGCAGGTGATTTAGAGAAAGTCGGTGTCTGCATGAACGCCTACTGGACGCAGAAGAAAGTCATGGCTCCTGGCTGTGAGCCAGTGATGGTCCAGAGGATGATGACCGCTCTGCGGCCGCACGTCCATGGTCAGTGTCTGGCTGGGGCTGGTGGGGGCGGATTCATGTATGTACTGACCAAGGAACCCAACGCTATCGGTCAAGTCAGGGAAATACTGGGCTCGGAGGAGGTAATTTATAATAAAAATAATTTCTCTGTAATTATTATTCATCTTTTCATTGCTCTTACATCATTAGGGTGTAAGTCATATGCAACCTAAACAATTATTACAAAAAAATAATTAATCATGAAATCTCTAGACTATTGGGATATATATCGGTAACGCGCGTTATGGTAACTCGCATTACAGTTTTTCCACCTGTCTTTGGTACAAGTTTAAAAATATAAGAAATTTAATTAAACAATTTTTTTTAACATATATATGAACCTTTCTCTCTGCATTTAAGACAGAAACTCAACATAATACTTGTATTTTGTATCCATGCATTTTAAAATCCGTAATTTTGGTCCCCAAAAACCCCATTTTTTTTTATCCCCCCCCCAAAAAATGACGGTATTTAATCATACTGGCATCATTCACATGAAAGGTCTTGTTGTCTCCTTTAATTCGATACCACATTTGAGTTGTTATGCTTGTAGTTCCAAAAATGTCATAAACATTGCACATTTTAGTTGGTCCACTTTTGCGTGGAATTGTCCAAAGGAAAATCTCAGATAATCAAACCCAGGATTCAGAGCCGCTTTACAGAAATGGAAGCTACCAATCAGATATTCAAATGTAACTTACAAATTGCATATGGGTCATTCTACAAATGTGGGGCCTGCTTTTTTGTGTTTCTGTTACATCTGACATCTATGATTTTATGATTCTGATGCACTCCTCAATGCAGTCGTCCTCCAAGAGTGATTATGAATAGCAAACTACCTACCCAACAAATAAAAAAATTATTTGAAGTCATTCAAATTTACTTTGGACCCTAACTTTATAGAATGACGCACATTGGTGTAGCGTTGATGGATTTCACTTGTTGGTTTGATTTGCAGGGTGTTGAAGACTTCACAGTGCACAGCGTTCAGCTAGACCAAGCTGGAATTGAGGTGGAGGTGGAGGACTAACATGATTGGTCCGTTGTCTCAGAAAAATCAGCCAATCACAAGCAAGTGCCATCTCCATGCAAGCCACATGCGCTTCCTGTGTGTTTTTACTGCCGTACATTGTCTAAAGCAAGCAGATGCTCTTTAGCAAAAATGCGTGGAAGGCAAAATCTGTCTTTGTGTGGTGCTGGGCGCTCAGCGACAGCGGTGATCATTTCTCTCTCGTCATCATGAAAGGGAATAATATGCAACATTTGCTTTTGCTGTAATATTCAGGAATGGATGGATTTGGGGGTTAGAATTTTATAGCAAATATTGTTACACTGACTTGTTTGCAGTTTTGTGTTCAAAGATGCTGGAAAAAACCAAGAAAAAGATGCTGTTCTTGTAGTCTGGTTCCCTAACCCTACTTCAGATGAAACAGAGCAATATATAGATGTCGGGAGAAAATAAGGTCATGGGACCAGTCTAGCTGGCTTGTACCCATTCATGGGTGTGTAATCGATCGCAAACAAAATGCGGACTAACTAAATATGGTAAATTGGGAGCAGTGTTTGAAAAAAGCATGTTTTTTTTCCCAACGCTGGTCAGCCAACCAGTGTTGGAAATTGATACAAAAATACCTCTTTTCTTGAAAATGTCAGCACACCAGGTGCCATGATGTTACAGGATGCTTTTGACTGTCATTCACTAATAGTCCAGTAAGGTATTTCGTAATAATTTGGTAGTTTTGTTTTTTGATGTTTGCAAATGTTGTGTATTCCCTTTGAAGGAGTTCTTGTACATTGAGTCTATAGTCACACACCGTCTTCCAGCAATTTGCAAAGGTGCATGACAGAAATAGGATTTCTAGCAATAGTATTATTAATTTAATGGCATATAGGATCATTTGCATTTATCCAAAAAGTAACCTACACATGTACGTAATACCCCTTGAAATTAGTGTGTCTGGCCTACTCTCATTTAGAAGAAATCAATAAATGTGGGTGATTCAACATTTTTTTGGCGTCGGGGTGATATAAATCAAATTAGGTTTTGCCCTTCACCGACATTTTTAAACACTGTATACTCAAGTGCGTTACTTCCCGAGTGAAAGTTGGAAAAAAATCACTCGGGTGGGACTCGAACCCACAACCTCCTGCTTTCTAGTGCAGATGTCTTACCACTCGACCACCGAGCTAACAGGATCAGTTGGCTGGTTCGAATCTGATGTACATAGCAGTGGGTACCGCATAAACTATTATAAGATGGAATTTTTTGTGTCGGGGTGAAATAAATCAAATTATAAATCAAATGATCAGTCAATTGACTGAATTTTGGAAATGAAGAGTGCTTTTGACAAAATCGTGTTTCGTAATCGAAAGGTTGTGCGTGATTTTTCACAGTTTTCTCCAAAAGTGTAATATCCACCGAGCTGAAACTTCAACAGGTTAGGTTTTGAACATTCTTTTGGGGATTTTTAGCGGTATTATTATTATTATTGGAAAAGAACAAAATGCATGAAAAGCAAATGATCCTATGTGCATGCAGCTCTGTATGTATATATTTGCACTTACTGTTCACAGGGTAGAAAACAATTAAATTATTCATTTGAATTAAATTTCCGAAGTTTCATTTAGAGCTGGAAGTGGGGAAAAAACATTTAGTAGATGTAAGGTGTATTAATCTTTTTTTTTTTTACTTGTGTTGTAGAATTGGGGGTAGGGGAGAGGTGTTTCTTTTTAGATCAGGAAGTTATTGTTCTCATAAATTATGTTTCCAAAGAAAACACCAATATTAAGATATTTGAATGGATTTACTGTGGTTTCCAGTAGACTGTACGAAATGTAGATTTTTTTTTATTTGTAGGTTTTCTTGCCAAAATAGTTTTAAGGAGTAGAGAAGGTTATTTAAATCAGTTTAAAAATATACTTGTTAATTAGGTTATAAGTGAAACTTATACATAAATGAATAATATATGTCTATTTTAAATACAAGCAATAAATGTATTAATATGTATCAAGTCATACTGTTAAAATACCCTTTTTCCCCAAATGTTTTTCTTGAATTTTCTCCTGTAAGCCTTTAAGTCATCAAATAGTACTGTACACTGGTAGGTTGTCTTTACTTTAGTGCAGTAAATTACAAATGAAAATAGCAACAACCAAATTTTGTTTCATAATCCAAGAAAATTTATAAAACCAATTTCCTATTGGATATTAAAGTAAACATATTTGAGGAAATATTGCTGTGATCTGGACTCTTAGAAATAGTCATTCTGTGTCAAGGAATAGTTCAAACTGGGATTGGTAAGACTAAGGAACAGAAATAAAACTGTTATTTTATTGTCAAGACAAGTGTTTATTAAAAAATTGTCGGTGTTTGGTAAAATATCAACAGCATATTTATTGCAGATGGTTCTCTGTAGAGGTTTAGAAAAGCCAAAAGATTTTTTTTTTTGGTAGCCAAAGTATCGAATACCAATGATTGTTCACCGTAAAAAGAAAAAAACTTGGATATTTCAGTCTAATTTCTTGTCATCTGCAGAAGATTCAACTAAATTGAAATTGTCTTCTTTGCTACCCGGAGTTTGTGCATCGTCTCGGCTTTGGTCGTTTTCAGCTATCGCAGCATCAGGGTGAAAACCCTCTTTGGGCTCCGCAACGTGCACCACTCTGTATAAATGGGAAAGAGGTTGAAATGAAAAAAAAATACACGAAATGTCACATTGAGTTCAATACATCAAGATATGGAAGAAAAAAAATCATAACAAATCTTCACAGTTGCGATTTGAAGGCCTATGCCCAAAATTTCGACACACATTCTTCAATCCACAATTTGTGCCTGCTCTTAAACTGTATTTTCCACAGGCATTAAAATTGACGTTTTCGTTTTTTAAAAATAGCATTTGAAGTAAATTGAATAACGATTTCAACAATTCCAGAAGATCGCATCGGATTTGTTAAAAGGTGTATCAAAAGTTGAATGTGTATCAAAAGTTGAATGCACTATATGTGAGAAAAAGCAAAATTAGTTTAAAAGGGGGAAATTAACAACGCTGAAAGGTTATATAATAACAATTAAAAAAAGACTCAAAGTTTTTCTGAAAATCTGATCTTGATAAGATTTTGAGCCATCTTAATGGTTTTGAGGTATCTAAAAATACATTTCATCCTCTTTTGCACATTTCATCTAAAACATTGGAATTTAACTGTCTTCTGCCTTATCAAGTATCTATAAACTACACTACTTTATAAGTATCTTTGATCACAAATATTTGGAACCCACCAATATAAAAATAAAATTCAGAAAATTTATGGAACTTACATCGTTGGTATGATTACACTTCCGCTGAGTACCATCATGACGTAAAACATGACGACAGCGTGGCCGGACCGTACGGCCAGGGAGTAGACGTAGCTCTGAACGATCAGCGAAGAGGCCGATGTCAGGGCGAAGACCAGTGTATGCACTGAAAATAATGCCCCTATTAACGGAAGAATCAAATTATATTGAGCTTATAGAACAGGCACATCTGTTGTACAAGCCACGCGTGGTAGAATGTTCAAGGTAGGGCCGTCTTGAATTATGCTAGGTAGACCTACATCATTGTTACATAAACGTATAGACAAACATCAATTTGCAGACCCCTTCTGTGTAAAACAAAACCTACGACAAAACATCCACTTCCATGACGAATCATTTTGTTTTCGGTATAACATCGTCAAGAATAAACGACGAAGTGATTTCAAAAATCTCTGGTCTAACTTCATTCCGTGAATAGTACACATACCGCATTTTGTTACGATCAGGAAAATCTTATCTTTATAGTCCGTCAGAAATGACAATAAACCCTAGCCCGATTGTCAATCGCAAATCAAGATTGCATCTTATGAAGCTGTTCTTTTCGCGAATATTAAAGAACTCAAGTTTTGCATTTGTTTTTTTTTTAGAAATGCTGTTGTGGTTTGTCTTTTACTTCTTAAAGGTACATAGAGATCATTTGTTTTTGGTGCAGTTAGACGAAACAAAATTGCACATTATATTTAGAAGAGTGCATTCATTAAAACTAACTTGTTCAATTTTCAGCTCAGTGGATGTATACATTTTGGGAAAACAGAGAAAACGTACACTGCAAAAAGTGCAGTGTTAAATTTACACCATTGGTATCTATATAGGACCATCTGGTGTTAAATTTTACTGGTGTTGTCCTATATAGATACCAAATGGTGTTAAATTAACACTACAGTTTTTGCAGTGTACATACACACAATAATTTTTCGGGTATATCGTAACTGGATTCCGTTTGCGCACGTAAAAAGTGCCCGCCGGTACACTTCCTTTAACCACTTTCAATGGTTGTTGTCTTCCGAATGATACCATTTCAGGTGGAATAATTGCACAGGGTATCTGTTACAAATCCTCTGCTCACTTTGAGCAAGGATTTTCTCAATTAAATCGGTAGGTACATGTATATCCGTTTCCGGGTAATTGCAAATCCTACGTGCCTTTAATTCATGTTTTACTTACCGTGACTCTTCGTAGCCACGAGCCTCGTAAGTAGAGCGATATACACCGGTTGAGAAATACCAAAGAAAATACCAGCAAAGGAGGCTGAAACAAAAACCACACAGATCATGATTACTCTGACAAAAAATGACAACCAAAAACTAAGCGGATCTAAATGATATTTTTCTTGTCACGAATCTTAATATCTTAAATTCAGAACATCGAAATATAACCCGGTGCTTAAGCTATTTTGTTCGGTAGGAACTAGCAGGTTTTTGGTATCACAACAAAATTTTAGGTTTGGTAGTTAAAAATATATATAAACGACACCAAAATTGAAGTTTAAGATTTGTACATGAAAGTTACCGTTAAATGCCAATGCATTGAGCCGAAAAACTGCTTTATTACGCTAAAACTATAATTACCATTTTGGTACATGGCCCAAAAAACAAAACTGTAAAATATATATGCCTAACAAAAGTTTTGGTAAAGCAAAATTATCGTAAGAAGTTCGGTAAGGACAGGATATGAAAACGTAAGGCCAAAAACAATGGCCGAAAACTTTTTGGTATTAACATGTTTGGTTCTTGCCATTTCCTGATAGGCCTACATGGATAAACGACCCGTAGAGTATTAATCCGACGCCAGCAGTAACTGTCTTCATAACTATACTTTTGAACGAGTAAACTACTTTCCTGAAAAGACTCACCGAATACCTTTATAAGCACACATTTGCACCCTTTCGCATCGCTTACCTCCGTATATCAGCATAGCATTAGTCTCGGCCACAGCCGTAAGTAGATACTCCGCTATTCCGCACAGGATACTCAAATATATCACCCAGTAGTCGGAAACAAATAGTTCCATGAACCAAACAATGATGGGGGCCACTTGGGAGAGAGAAAAAAACCCAGATTAGTCAACATTTCAATTTACCCTATGCTCTAATATAATTAAACAACTCGACCGGTCCGTTATAAGCCCCGCCCCTTAATGCTGTGACCAATCATTGTCGTAAGAGACGCCATACGCGCGCGCGCACCACTGATTACTAGCGCCCATTGGATAAACGCTCGAGGTGCGTTAACTTCCGGTTCCATAATGGTACACCGTGTGAAGTATGCATGGTTGAATTGAGATGACGTCACACTAACGAACCGGATTTAGCCCGGTTCATACTTCATGCGAAAGCGAAAGCGAACGCGAATCTGTGACGTCATGGCAAGTATTCGCGCTGCGAATTCGCAAAAGTTGAACACATTTCAACTCAGGCGAATGTCGCAGCGAACGTTTCATGACGTCAAATTCGCTTCGCATTCGCATGAACCGGGCTTTAAGCAACCACAATTACTATACGACATGAAGTCCGACATCATAAGCCCGGTTCATACTTCATGCTAATGCGAACGCGAAGCGAATTTGACGTCATGAAACATTCGCTGCGAAATTCGCCCGAGTTGAAATGTGTTCAACTTTTGCGAATTTGCAGCGCGAATACTTGCCATGACGTCACAGATTCGCGTTCGCTTTCGCTTTCGCATGAAGTATGAACCTGGCTTGACGCGTGCAGTGGGAGCACGCAGGGTCATTGGAGAGGCGCATGTGATGTTACCCACGTGACCAGTGAGCGGGACTTAATGAAATGGTCTAACAGCAATCACATATTAAGAATTACATGTATCTGCAGATAATTGAAGACAAAGGTCACATGGACACAAACAAGCATATTGGATTAATTAAGTTTCGAATCACGTGATATCAATATCTATACCAACGAAATCGGAAAATACCCCAGATTCACTCAAATGCATCGTTAATTTGATATAACAATTCAGGCCTAGGTCTTCTCTTAATGATGATAAGAGTTTGAAATTAGAATACTCACATATTGCATTTGGTCCTCCGTATATGAATGCAAACACTCCGACCAATGTAGGCGTCCAACAGAAAGGCTCTCCTAGACCGTAGAGAGTGACCGTGTTCTGAAACCCATGCAAGTTGAAGCTGACCACGGCATAACAGGCCAAAATGACTATAAGTCTCCACCGGCGACCTCCCGTAGCTTCCACGAATAGATCCCGGACACTTCGAGTGATCCCCTTCATGAGATCGACGGGATGTACCGGTTGTTTCTTCACCGATTCACGGATGATGTTCGGCGGTAACATCCAGAGGAGAGCCAGCAGTGCGAAGCAGGTGACGATCAGGTAGACGATGGTGAACGAACCCAAAGCACCCAGCAGACTGTTCAAGATCAGCGGGGCTACATACACGACCGTGTACTGAATACCGTAGATTGTTGTTATTGCCACGCCCCTTTGTTTGGGAGAAACTATTTCTGTCACATACAGCATGCTGACTGAATGCAGAAGAACAAATCCGCCCGAGATGCCGAACACCGCACAGCCAATGAGAGCGTAGTAAACGGAGAGGTCGAAGAAAGATACCACCAGGAAACCAAGGGCCATGATTAGCGGACCCAGACATCTTAGGATTAATATGGGCCGGCGGCCGGTGAAATCAGAGGCAGCCACGAGAGGAAGACCGGTCAAAACCGGAATCAGGTCAGTCAGGAAGCTTTGGTAGGTCGAAAACAGAGCTGTTTCTGACTGGATTTCGTTCAGTTCCTGGCTCACGTTGCTAGTCGCGCACCCGTTGCCTCCCACAGGGAGGGTGAAATTGCGCTGGCGGGCAAACGCAGAGCGCGCAAACTGGACTCCCAGCGTTGCCATGACAGTTTCATCGGCAATGAAGACCAGAATTTGGAGGACGAGGAAGAGCGCAATGGAGACCCAAGTAGGTCTGCCTTTGACGCCATCTTTGAGAAGGGGCGTCCCCTCTGGTGAGGGTGACATAGGCATTTCCAGTCCTGGGTTGTTATAGGCTTGTGAAGGGCCGGTAGTTGCGTTAAATCTGAAACAAGAAGACATACTCACTTTCAATCCACCCAGTGGCGTACCTAGGGGGGGGGGGGGGGGGGGGGGCAGGGCCCCCACAAGAATGTCTATGGCACCCGGACGGTGCCCAACATGTACAAATCTTGAATTGAACAGAAATATATAAAACTTGCCTTTAGTGCCCCCTTGAACAAGTACTGTGCATCCGCCGAGTACCCCTGGAAGTTTCGCCCTAGTTACGCCACTGAATCCATCGAATTAGGCCCACTCAGTTGTACTCGGTCAAAAACAGCACTGTACGGTTATTTTAGAAATTTTTTATTTCAGTCGAAATCTTCAAGTTTTGTCAAATTTTGAAGAAAAAAGAGAGTGTTATTACTGTAAAAGGTTATCAACTAATTCTGTTTTCCTCAACGTGAATGGTTCGTTGGTGTTGAATGCGGTAGTCTGACGCCTAGCCCCATAAATGTGGCCTATTTACTGGACTGCCTCCGTAAACATAGGCCACACATCCACATTTAGGCTTACTTTTTACGGTTTTTTTGCTTTAGAAGCATTTTCACCCTCTATATAGGCTAATCAGAAAGTGCTGCCTTTTTCAGATGTCCATTTTTCGTGAAATTTCCAGATACATTTGCACACGTTTGCGTATCAAAATTTCAACATGAAATTTCACAAAAAATAAACATCTGAAAAAGGCAGCACTTCCTGATTAGCCTATAAAGAGGGTGAGAATGCTTCTAAAGCAAAAAAAAATCTACAAAGTAAGCCTAAATGTGAAAATCAGAATTTGGCAAAGTCGACACGTTTTTTGTACATGTGGATGTGTGGCCTATGTTTACGGAGGCAGTATAGGCCACATTTATGGGGCTATCTGACGCCATACTTTCTCCATGCACTCGATCATGGTGGTCAGCTAGTCATTAAAAACACGACCAGTATACTTCGGACTAAATTTCTGATTTTGCTAGAATATACTTCTTGTGCATTTTCACGACTACCCCAAAAGCATATACTATTCGCAGATCACAACCACCAAACCAAAGTAGCATCAGGATACTTTCTGTTGATTCAGTTTGCAGTAGGCCTACTGCATGGGTACTGAATGAAACCTGTTGACGAACACTGAGATGTTTCCATCGCCAGCCGGCGAACGAAACCTGCATGGTTGTACTCGCATTTGGTACTAAAAATACCGTGCAAATAAATTACAATTATATACGTCCTACTGTCTTATGGCATGTATGGTAGCTTATCTGGTGGAGCTCTCCACCTACATAATATTGTCAAGAACACACAGAATTAAAGCAAAGAACTCTCTTTCTTACCGACTTCACAGCAGCATTTTTGCGTTTTATTCCGGCACATACAACTCTTCGTGTAAATACATGTAGTACTGATGACGGGTACATACACGCCACAAGGATTTCGTCTCCCATTGTATAGTGTACGATACCTCGGTCGCGTATTATGGCAAAGTTACGCATGGCAGCGCACTCCATGTGCCTTTTGTCATTTTGCACATGTATTATTATACACAGAATCATGGCCTCCAGCTTGCAACAAAACGGTAACGGGGAAATGATCATTGGTGCACATTAAGGCCACAGGAGAGACTGAATGAGTTTTGCTCGCAAATGCTCGGTAACAATTATTCTCCAAAATGTTCCTACTGAAAAAAAAGGTTTCGTACTGCAAAATTGTGCTTGGCTCTTTATATTTGGCGTTATGGTTTATTTATTTATTTATTTCATTTACCGGGATATTACAAACAGCGAATCATAGACAAAATTGTTGCTGCATTTTGTTCAGTAGCGGCTATATACACGCTAATAGTAATATAAACCCACATGATGCTGCAAAGCCATTAAAATTATTCACTGCATCCGGAGGAATAATAGGAAGGATGGCCAATATCAAATTACCATAATTGAACATTCATACATTTATAAAAGGGGTTGTAGCTCCTTTGGACATAATTTTTTATCAGCAAACTCAATAGCCTACTCGAAAAAAATTGAAGAATCTCCTTACCTTTTTTTCAAAAAGGCCGCCACAAAAACTACTTATTGTGCTTTTTAATCGGCCTTACCTGCCTTTCAAAACTCCTGATAACTGGAAGTTCTTGCCGCGGATGACAAACTTACCAACGGCTCTCACTTTTGGGTAACTTGAGGCTAATAAACGCCAATTCGTGCAACTGCTCTACTGAAGTAAACAGTGATCCACACTTTTGAGATGTCACAATATTCCTTGGGTATGTCGCACATAAGTGGTTTTATTCAAGTTAATGCGGGATATAGCTTTTGATTATTTCAAGATAGCATTTCTAATTATTACAAGATATCTTTAAAACATTTAGACAATTTAATTATGTAAGCCCTTGAGGGTTATTTTGAGATCTTGAAATCCAATTCAAATATGTTTCCAAGATATCTAAATGTTTTCTAGATATCTCTAAATGTTTTCAAAATATCTCTAAATGTTTTTAAGATATCTCTAAATGATTTTAAGATATCTTGTAATTATTTAAAGATATCTCTTCAATGTATTTCAAGATATCTCTTCAATGTATTTCAAGATATTTTGAAATGCTTTTATTTATTTGGACATCGTTGATTGCGATAAGGATGCATCGTTGATTGTGAATAAAATAATGTCACTTATGCGCGCAATATCCGGGAACACACCTACTTCTAAATAAGCTTTTTACCACTGGAATTAAAAAAAAAAACACCATAGGGCAGGTTCCTTACTCTATGAAAAAACCTACCCCTCACTGATACACAAACACGCAGGTTCCAGTCATTTCTTCTGTACGTGGGCACCAGACAGCCATATGTGTGAGTGTACTATGATTCATTTCCCATCTGACGATGTATGAAACTAATGAATATCAACAGCTGTTCTACAAACTAGGCCGGTCTTTTCAAATGACATTGAACTCGTATAGAATTGCAAACATGTCATATTTATGCCCCCACCCTCCTGTACGGCCATCCAACAGTACAGAGCGATTACATACAGCTGCCATCGTTGAGGTGTGTTTTATGTGAATTCATTAACAATGAATGCACAAAACATCTACTAGCTCATGCGTATCCCTGTTGAACAAAAGGGAAAGAATGTCGCAACCTGACACCACTGTTTTCCTCAAAAATCATCTCAACGAAGGTCGGTCATGGCAAAAAATGATGATAAGACATGAATCTGGGACTGAGAAATATCTCCAATTTTGATAGGAAATACTTACAAATTTGTCTTGACTCTCCTTAGACTTTGTACACAACCCCGGAAGTGGCGTCTGGTTGCAACATTCTTTCCAACAAAAGCACACGCCTCAAAAGATTGGGCAGTGCAAACGATCTACGTACATTTTAATCATGGAGGAAGAGTTTAAGTCTATGTAGAGAATCGTTGCACATGAACGCGTACGGTCAAGGCCGTATAAACCAGCTATCGATCACACGCGTTGGTAATTCTTTGCAAACAATAGCCTCTATACAAACATGATATTCAATAAACGTTCATGCATTATTTGCTTTTTATCAAAGGCATCAATACATTAGCCCTATAGCAACGCCAGTTACCGAACGCACCATTGGTCGAAATGGATAGGGCTAGGCGCTTACGTGTAATTTGTAAATCAAATACCCGAAAATCATCACAGGCGGGTATCTGGGTACCCGGTGGTTTCGAAATCTGAGAGCGAGAACTGGAACTGTCCAAACAACCACAATACCCAGAAAATTAGGCTTTCAAGACCTGAGTGCCCAACATATCAATCCCACTCAAGAATTATTACGAGTGAGAAAACCCCCTAATTTTTAAAGATAATTTCGGATCAAACAATGGCCTTAAGTAAAAGGAGACGAGACACTGATGAATTATGAAAATGATTCAATCTCTTTCATTCGAAATCCGACACAAAAAGTTTTAATGATCGAACAAGCGAAGCGTGTTATCTCTATAGTAAACAATCCATGTAATGTGAACATTATTATTTCATTATAACAATCTCGCATTAAAATGCAGTGTGAAATATTGACAGCCCGCTTAGGTTTTTACTGGCCGGGTTAGGGCCGTTTCATTTCGATGGCAGACCTAATAATTTAGGGTTTTTCCGCCGAAAATGTGGTTTTCATACAAACTATTAAGGCCAGGATAGAAAGGGTACTTTAATACACAAAATGTTCCATTATGTAGGCCTACTGTGTTACTACAATCAACGGCTTGAAATGGAGACTAGACGTGCTCGTGAGTGTGGATGTAGAAAGGAAGGAGATTGTGGCGTATGTCCCTGGGCAGGCGACTCGACTGTAATAATTCCTCACTTGTATTTGTACCAGCTAATGGAACAGCTATGAACGGTGGCAAAATGTTACAAAGAAGTGTACAAATATATTCACAAAGAGTTGAGGAAAAACCCTAAACACTTATTGGCATAGCGGTCGGGGGTAAAAATAATTTGTTAAACACAGCGAGCCCCTGTGTCGTTCATTATCGTTCACCATACAGCCAATGATTACGCCTCAATGTAAGTGACTTTGCACACCTCGACCCCAATGATAGAAAATAAAATTGACTTATTTTTGCAACCATTTTAATTTTCACATTTTTGGTTCATTGGTGAAAGGCACATTCATGACCAGCATTATTGTTATCAATGATTAAATTCAAGCCATAATGTTATTAACACCACTAATAGCATTTGAGACAACTGTACAAACAAAAAATGTTAATTTAGTACAAATACATGTACAATCTCTCTTTTGGCTCGAATTTAACAGTAAATCGTTACCTTCTTTATACGAAAGTAAACTTTGGGATGAGCTCTGAACAATCATTTATAGATGTCTTCAAATTATTCTTCATCGCAGTAAAAAAGCACACGCAAAAAGAATAATAATAACATATAATGGCTGAAACTACTCAAGTCTGGTTCCGCGAGCATCTGAACTCTTAAACATTGTTACATTTCAAACAACGGTATCTGACTATAACGCTATGCATCTTGGGAAACGCACCAATTAAAATGGCGGACACGCACCACTGTTTGCAAACATCCCCCCCCCAAAAAAAACATTCCAAGGGTCGTTTTGGTGTCTATAATGACACAAGGATGAAACTGTCATGAGGAAAAAAGCAAAGAATGTGAGGGCCAAGCAGCTTTGTAACATAAGAGAAAGTATTTCAATGTTGTTTAAAATAAAAAGCAATTTAAGAATTGGGGCAGGTTTTTTTGAAAATTAAACTTGATACATACATGTAGAGTTTGGGTTTTTCCTCCATCGCCCAATCCTGTCGACGAAGTAAAGTTTAGCAACGCGAAGTTAAAGCTACTTTTCTAACACTCATCGTGGCGGGTTTGAAGTGTGCCAGTACGGTACCCTTTTTAATAATAAATAATTCGTCATAAAATACAAGGTGTATAAATACATCAGTGTAAAAGCTTTACCGATGCGCTATAAATAGTCTTACTTTTATGTACAGTTATTTATAAACAACGACAGACAACACATACAATAACAATACGATATTTTCATGTACCTTTTTTGTACGAGTTGTGTTTTAAAATGCTTTTGGAAAAAGTTGTTTGAAAAGCCGATTTTATTAGATTATATATACTCACTGTCATGACCCACGTTCAAAGGACCGTGCTAACCAAGAAATGGCATTTCCCAATCAACCAATTAAATTTTATATTCGTTTTGTGAGTGAATTTCATTTTTCTCATTTATTACTGAAAAATAAAACCACCCAAATAAATATTATGTACCATAAGTCGGAAATACATTTTCATTGCACCCTAGGTTAAAACAGTTTGGTACAAGGATGAAACGTAACTCTGTGAAGCCATTAAAAATTCAACTTGCTTTGCTTTCTATTAAAAATATACCTCTTTTTGTTTACTGCAAAACAAAATAAATCGACAATCATAACTTCAGGTGTGGAACCTGGACTTTCCAATGGCTTTTCTCGAGACAAAACACGCGTACCACCACCAGCCTGCACAACACGTTACGTCACGCTATGAAACATTCCTATTGGCTGAAAGTTTAGTAATGACCATCCAATGGGATGGATTTAGCCTTGATTCAAGTCTTAACAAAAATCAAGTATCCTTCACCATTATTGTGTGCAACAGACGAATAATGTTGGCAAATAAAAATACCGACTTGAATTAAAGCTAAGATGGAATAAATAATGAACAAACACAACACTGAAGGGATGGATTTTTGGTACTGCAGTAGCACGACTTTTTTTCAGGTAAATGGTAAATGAAAATACGAAGATATGGTGGAGTAGTGGGTATTACTATGGGTGAATCCAACAGGTTTGTAATTTCGCAACTTTGGATGACATCCGAGAAAGAATATGATGTAAGTATGAGACAGACAACCAACTCAAACTTAAGGTGTGGACATTTACATGCACATGCAACTGGCTTAGGTGCTATTTCCCATGTTTTCCTTGCAACAAAGATTTCCATTCGTTTTAATGCAATTCTAGTCTCGTTGAAAAATCCAAATTTCTTTCCACTTTTTTTTTTGGTTCCACACTGTGTGATTCCGCAATATCTCGAAATTTCAAACGCATCCGGATATATTTTTTTCAATGGAGAGCGCTGAAATTTGTTCGGTATTAGTAAAGAAGCTGACTTCTAATAATTAGTAATATAAAACTATTTAGTATAAGGTGCTCTTTTCAGATTCCTGTGATCTCGGATCATAGAAACGTTGTTACACTTTTCAGGTGTGAAGGTAAGTTACTAAAGCTAACAATATTCTTGTGTGGTTAGTATGTTGGCGAAGAGAACGATGACAATTTTAAAGAGAGTGTAATAGCGAATAATTTGTGCTTCAAATGTGCACTCGCATCATGCTCAAAACACACCCTTCTGTTGACCGTGCAAAACATTACACCAAGCCGAAATAAACCCGTAGGCCTACACACTCATTACATTAAGGCCAGGTAAAAAAAATAAAACAGTTTCTCGGTCTCTCTTCCCCCCTCCTCCACCGCTTCCTTTTTCCCGACCACCTCCTTTAAAAAAAAAATCATAAATTTGCAATACAATTTGCAAATATATTGTGAATATAAGTGTCTCTTTTATTTGTTCCCAACAAAATTTTAGCAATGCAGAAAGGGTCATGGCTCCTTTAGACACAACTTTATATCAGTAAAAGAGTCGAGAAAATTGAAGAATCCATCCGCTATCTTGGGGGAAAAAGTAGGGGGGTGAAGCGCCAGCCTCCTTCATTTTTTTCAGAATGAATGAATGAGAAACCATTTTTTTTTTTTACTCGGCCTTGTAGGCGATTTCGAAACCTCGGTTTTGTTGCGGCTTCAGCATAAGGTGATTTGAGGCTCCTGACTTGTACGTCTCTGGCTGAACAAAATGAGTCCATTTTCTGCCTGAATCAGGGAAACCAAAATTGCAATTATACGAGGCCAGAGTTTAGAACATTTCTCTATTCTTTTGCTTTTAAATGATCATGAAGCCAGACAGAGATAAAGCCACAGCCGGAGACAATGCCAGGATTTCAAAAACGCCTGTAGTTAGCAATGTAAGCCAGTTCAAAGGTCACAAAACTGGTTGAAATCTGGCTTTTCTATTAAAGTACCCCGGTTGTCAAAGACCTAGCTAATATATAACACAAATGTTAACATTTTTAAAGCTTATTTGTGCATTGTAAAACATATTGCACTGGCCACTTTAAAATACGACTAAGAATACAAACAAAATATGAAAAACATCTTCAACTGAAATAGAACATTTCATGATTTTCTTTTGTGTTTTGATTGATTGATTTTCTTTTGTGTTTTGATTGATAAATCGGTTGTTTTAATCAAAAAGGGTAGTATTTCCCCACAATCATCACTAAATCAGTCACATACAAATTCAGCTGGGGTCATACTATTCAATTCGATTCCCTTCTCTGAAAATGTGGTTTAAAAGTTTCCCTGGATGAAAACAAGAAATGTGTTCGTGTTTTTCGTTTACCTGAAAAGTCACTTCTGCAATGACCATGTCTTCCATCCGGAACCAGACTACAAAACGATGGCTGGCAAGTAACTATGACAACAAGTATGTAATTGACATTTGTTCTAGAACATACATTGCACTTTTAGAAATTGCAAATTTAAATACATCTCATGAATACAGATAAAGCCAAAAATGACTTAGACAAATTAAAATGAGTTGATTTTTCAATAAAATAAATAATTTGTGATAAAATGAATGGCAGGATTTGTTTTATTCACACCGGGTAGTTTAACTTTATTTAATAAAGATTTTTCGACAAATAGCATACTGGCAAAAAAAGAACCATCAAAATTTTGCGCTGTGATTGGCTGTTGCAAAGCTTAGCAATGAAATGTGGGACGGAAAAAAACATACAATTTCAGAGAAAAAGGTAAAATAACTCTTAACTTATACAAAAGTTTGCTTAAAACTAGATAAATAAATATCGCCCCTAGCCAAAGAAATTAGAAATTTAATGTAACATACCATTTCCACACAAGCACCTAACAAAAAGTGTAGCACATTCGGCACATACCTTACTACCAAGTGAAGTTCACTAAATATTTTTTTCAAAGATAATTTAATGCAAATATGTGAAGATTTTGAGTGAGAAGTCAATGAAAAGATGTCATAACAGCCGAGTAGTAAAATCGTTCAAGCATATTTTGGGCTTCTAAGTTTTTTGTTACTTTTTTTTCAGCACTTTTGTTGAAAAATCATTGACAGGATGAAGATTATTTTCAGTAACTTTCTCGACCAAAGTGCACACAATTATCTGTAGAAGACAAAATAATTGCATACTGTCGATCAGAAGTTAAGAAGGACTTTAAGAGCAAGTTCAGGTCTGCGTTATTTATATGTTAGTCAATTTGACGCACCTCAGACCTCGACTTTATGAATATTGATGAATGATGAATATTCATGAATGAAGAACCTTCATGAATAATTCATTGGATTAATAAATATTATATTCCAAGTTCCCTCACTACAATGTGGTCACACTCTACATGTCTAGGCACTCACTGTACTTGGTAAACCCCAACTTGGTTTAATTTGTGGATAGTTTTGGTGTTTGTATGGACGTTACACCAAACCCTTATCACACACTCAACTGTCGACATCTTGAGACCACATCCCAAGATGCCAACAATTCTACAACTCCTTAAACTCACACAGCAACCTTTTTTTTAATTTTTTTTTTTTCAAAATAAAATGAACGACGATGCAAGACACTAGATGGTGGTGTCCAGTCACAGAACAGACGCTGATGATGTCATTCAGCTTTCATCCAATCATAACCACCAGATTCCAGCTTGGTTCGTCAGCAACCAATCGCGTCTCTCGATCTTGGCGTCGCCATTGACAACATCCAATCAGAGGGCTCGGTTGTTTCCGTCAAGGCCAGCCTTCCCAGCTGTCCTCTTCTTCCTCCATTTGGAGAAATAAATTAGTGAAGAGTACGGCGAAACCAATGTTGAGAATTAGCACCAGAAGGACAAGGCTTCGACTCGCAGACCAGCTCTGTTAAAAGCAATAAAATCATATGAAAAGCAGAAAAAACGCAGTCAATCAACCAAGCAAAATAGTTTTAACAGAATAGTCCACAAGTTGAAACTATATGGCGAAGACTGGTTTAAAGGGGCCAAGCAATGTATTTTTTTTTAACCCTTACTCTCTGAGGGTAGTTTACTGCATGTCAGTTGGTTATGCCAATGCCCTCCAGCTGCAGTTTATTGGAGGATACTTTGATGTAGCAGTGAAGGCTCCAATTGGCAGGAGTTGGAGGCCCTGGAGGGTGCCTGATACTGACCAGCTGGGGGCACTCACTTTGTTATCAGAGGACTCTCATTGTTCTCTGTGGCATGTATTGGAGTGCCTGTCCAGTTACCCTTGAAATGACATGGCAGATATTGGAGGGCCATGCAAAAAACATAGGAGATTTTCTTGAGGCACAATTGGCATGCGTTGGAGGGTCTAGTAGGGTAAGGGCTAATGGAATCCTTGGAAATGCACCTTTGTGTCCCATTTAACCTTATTTTCAATTTTCGTTTTGCAATTTTTCAAGGATATTTTGGTGCCTTTTTTATTGTATGCTAATGAAAATTTCCATATTCATGAGCAAAGTGTGATGTCATTTCAGGCAGAAACCTCAATGTTTACAGTTATTTCAGCACCAAATTAAAAGTTGCCAGAATTTTGGATATTTCGCTGTTGTAAATTTTCTTTTCTTTGGTGATACGTTGTTGTGTCAGTACATGGCATTAAGGCAATGAGCAACCCTTCCTTACAAAGTTTTCAATGAGCAAATGTTTGGGTTCACAATTTGAACAGAAACCCCCTAAACTGAACAGTGTCTTCCTGAAATGACATCACAGCAACAGCGCCTTCAGTTGTCCAGAAAAGCAAGGAAAATGTTTATATTCTTAAAGATGGGCACTTTTTTAATACAATTTAACCAAACAGGGATGTCAAATAGTTCTCATACATTTGAGTGGAGTAGAAAGTTGCACAAAATATGATCCTAAGAAAAATTCACTTCACGGACCCTACTGACTGATGCTCTTAGAGATTGCCCAGTGGTAGTCTAGTCGTCACAAGTCTTTACAAGTCATCACAAGTCCTCCAGTCCCAAGTCAAGTCACAAGCTGTTCAGATAAACTGCGACCAAGGTACTCCATTGTCTCTGCTCTTCTCTATTACTTGTGATTGACTTGTTATTTTACTTGCTAGGGACAATAGCTGTGATACATTAACTAAACTCACTTGGTAGACCAATAAGTTCATAGGTTCAACTGCCCTCCAACAAATTTCATTGCACAACGAAATAAAATAAAAACAAATTGACGTTTCTATAACAAACGTCAAAAAGGAATTGATTTTGCATAGCTTCTGAATCTACGATGCGCATACGTACCACTTTTCCAGCTTGAATAGCAAGAGCGCCCTCAGCATCTAGATCAGGGTCAGCCCAGTCCTCGTCGCGACTGTTGGACTTTGGGAGGTATCGGATTTTACAGCGAGAAGGAAACTTGCCGTCAAATGTACGTACATGCCCCGGCGGCATGTCCGATAACAGAGTCACTTCCTTGTCAAATTTACTCTTCTGTTTCTGTCTCTGTTGCTTGAGTTTTTCCTGTTCGTCCTCCTCATCGAACCGTGCGTAGGCAGCTTGTGACAATAACTCTTCTTCTAATTCATCTACGTTAAAGCTATCGTACTCATCGTACTGACCGTGACCGCGACCATGACTCGAGCTGTGTTGACGATCGTAACTGTCCTCCTCTACTCCCTCTTGACGGGAAAACTGGCGCTTTGCAAGGGTACGTTTTCTGTCCGATACCGCTCGTCGTAGCCGATCTGAATCCGACGTCGTACTGATACCAGAATCTGGAGTGAGTTCGGCAGATCCTCGTTCACCGCCATAACGTCTGTCGGGTAACGTGCGGTGGTGACGGTCCTCATAGTAACCATCACTGTATTCACTGTCCTGGTACCCATTAAACCGGACCCCGACCTCACCATGATGGTTCCTAGGATGGAAGGAGGCTTGACTGTCATTGTTTGGATGTTCAGAGGATTGGGCTCGACGTCTTGGCGCGGGACTCCCTTCAAACAGGTTCCCCGTCGAGCGAGCCTCTCTAACTGCCGATGACTCATACGACGGATTGGACCCCCTCCCATCCCATTCGTTAGCTAGTCTACTAGGGTGGTTCTTACTATCTGGGGAGTGAGTTGGCGTCTGAAAGCTGGGGTCCTGTTTGACTTCAATGATGGTGCCTCGCATGTGACTCTTGCGGTCAAAGCCTCCGAGATGTCGCCCGAAGAAACTCTTCTTACGATCAAGCTTTATATCCCCAGTTCCACCTGCAATCGAGGGGAAAATATGACAACCACAATAAACAAACAGCAACTGGTTAAACCAGTCCATAACGACTGGCATTTTTGACAAGGATCTGTTTGGTGCATTATAAAATGTGAAAATGTGAGAATGTGTGAGGACTAGAATTTATGGCATTTTTTTTCTAACTAAAGGAAACCTCCACCTTTTGTGAAAATGTCCAATTGACAGTATTACCAAAAGGGTTACGGGCAATGCACTTATCAAGAATTGTCATGGTTTTCTGTGCAAGATTGTGAAGTGTACGAAGGATATGGTTTCACTTCTTAACTAAGTAATTCACTGCACCACCTGCCGGTGATGCAGGTCAAGTGGTACAAATGTAAGTATATACTGTCCATTACAGAATGAATGACGTGAACAAAACAGATGAAATGGAGAATAACTGCTACTTTAGTAAAACTGCCCAGTAGCAAGTTCTGACCCAAGCCCAGTCAGTCTGCGACAAACAAAGTCTGTTAGTACAGCACAGATACACACATTCATGTGACACATGGAAGTAGAAAGTAGGATTAGTTGGTGTTAGGAACTTTGGTGTCGGCCACATACCACGCTGCAGTTGAAAAATTTCACAGCTTTAATCAAACCATAAAATGAATTAGAATAAACTCATTATAAATGAGAAAATTAGGATGTAAAAACCTCCTGGCTTCAAAAGAACGATGTTAGTAAAAGGGATTTGTTTGCAGTAAAACCTTTCTCAAAAGTGGTATTTTTTTTTTTTTTAAATGTCGAAAAAAATATTGTCAGTTGTTATGAAACAGACAAATCCTTACAGAATGCAAAAAATTGTGTGATACACTCTGCACTTCAGTTTAATTTACAATATCATACATGTAAATAATGCTACATAAATTGTTCACTAAAAAGATCTTTGAAAGTGCTTGAACATGGGTTAAGTTTTTATTCACTGGTGCTACATTTATCCAAATTATTGAATCAGATCCAATTATTGAAAGGTTTGACTGCACACAAGTGTTTTATTAGCAACGCAAAACATTTTTCAGGTGAAATACATGTGGGTCATTCGATAAAGTTAGGTTCCAAAGAGTGATATTTTTCCTGTCCCTGTTACTTTGGAACTTTGTAATTTGCCATTCAAAGTGTCATTAAGAATGACTTCAAACAATTTTAGGTCTGTTGGGTAGGTTGTTTGCTATTCATAATCATTCTTGGATGACCGCAGAAGAACTTCAGATTTACACAATCATAGATGTCAGATGTAGCTGGGACAGGAAAAAAAGCGGACCCCAAATTTATAGAATGACCCATGCATGTGAATAGCAGTGAGTTTAATTAGTAACAAAATGTTGATGTACACTGTATGTTACAGTGGTTCTTAAACAGTACTTTCTAGACTACGTATATTCCTACATTTTTTGACTCAATTTGAATCTTTCTACACCGAAGTGCCGCTACGGGCAGTTCAGTTCCAGTAATTTCTGGGTTTGAATATTCTAAATGTTTAAACTAACAAAAAGTGGGCCCTTGGTGAAAACAAATACTGTGTGTCAAAATAAAATAAAAAGAATGAAAAAGTGGAGAAATACTGCATGTAACTTGCTAGAAGAATGAAAGTGTAAAATGAATTCCAATGGAAAGCTACTTGTGCATTTGCCTCCTGCAGTGAGGGATTTTTTCCCCCACATATTAAATTGACCTCGATTGGTAAATACATTAAAATAGTCAGGTGGCTCATAGTCGCAATCCCGACCGACTGGTCCAAAGCACCAAACTTGGCAGATAGATTCTTATAGCCCCAGAGAAGATACTTAGAAATCCCCAAAATAAGAGATTGTGGTTGTTTATAATACATCTACGACAACATTTTTCTTACAGGTAAATTTGGGGATTTTCTTGAACTTGTTCAAGTCTCCCACGTTATGCAACCCTTCCCCTAATTTTTAGCCCAATTTACTGACACCTCCTTTGTTCCCCTATTTTGTTTTCTGGGCTAAATATCATGATGTTGTCATTCTGGCATGATATAGATATGGGGTAGCTGAGCCAGTAAGCAACTTTGTAAATTTGAAGCTCATCAATTTTGAGGTTTGCAATGGCAAGACTACGTGATGATATCTGGAGACAAGGTAAATGCGGGCAACTTTAGGGTATAATGGTAGCCATTTTGGATCTTTCAAATGTCCCCATAATTATCCAGTCACTTAAATGCTTCTGAAAATGTTATTTAAGTAAGGATATGTAAGTAGAACCCCCAAAATAGACTTTTCAAAAAAATAACAAACATACTAAAATACGGGAATATTACACTACAGCTATTTACGATTTATGAAAAAAGTAACCCTTCCCAAAAGAATTTCAGGTGTCAACCCTTCTAAATATCTTCTCCAGGGCTTTAAGAATATATTTGCAAAGTTTGGTGCTTTGGACCCTCTGGGTCTTGTCAAAAATCTGATCTAAGGCACTTGACTAAAAGCCCCCAATTACATGTTTCTGCAGTAGCCAGATACACACCTACGCATAGCCTCAAGCCTACATGTAATTCTAACAGATGGTATTCCCAATCCAACGAGACACTATTCAATAAAAGTTGAGGATTAAGAATACAAAAATTCACCTGCTTCATTTACCAAACTGTAAGGATATTGTGGCACAGTTTTACATGTACATGTACAACCTGCATTTTAAAATCGGAAGGTTAAACCTTAGAGTTATTTGTATACATGAAAGGTTTTTTTCTGTACTCTATGTCACTGAAACAGCGCCCTCTATCTATAAAGTTAAACCAGTCAACAGGAACCCATGCAGGTTGATTAACCCCTGTGCAAATATGGACATAAATGAACATCATGACCAAATATGGTCACTTATGGAAACCATGACCAAAACCTCAGATCTGGAGAAGAAAATTGAATTATGCATTTACTTTCCACTACATAACCTGAAAAATCCACAGCTGATGAGGAAAGGAAAATGACTTTAATCAGTCTTTCATATCAAAACCGTTTTCTCTGGGTCTGATGTTAAAATGATTTGATACGACACGCTTTGTTTTTAGTCTTTAATATTATCTTAGATCTGAAATTGCAGTCATGGATACCACACTTAAATATCACTCACTTGGAAGGAGAGAAAATGAAACAAGTTTTTTGGGGGATCATTTTCCAGAAAAGAAGGAAAATCGTGGTGGGGGAAAGTGGTACAACAAGGATGGAAAAGTCAGTAAACCAATTCCAAGTTTTTATTTTATTTTGATTCAGAATGACAATATTCTGAATTTACTAAAACATTTTCCAAAACCTGCTTCTGGTTTTGGAAAATTTGGTCATTGGTCTGGTTTTGTGCTGAAATTGCATTTTAATAGGACAGATCTGTTGGAACCTGATCAGCAGAGCCAAACAATCTATTCTAGAACCGACACCGTTGAAATCATTTTAAAAATATCTTGTATTGCTCTCTCCCATTGTTAACTAAAGTCACATAAACACCTTTGAAGGCACATAGGATCATTTCTTTTTGTGCATGTTTTTCGTTTGAAGCAATAACGAAATTGCTTAAAATCTTAAGAAGGGTGCATAACAACTAACTTGCTGAAGTTTCAGCTCGGTGGATACTATTCATTTTGAGAAAACAGAGAAACTATAATACAAACGTTTGATGTCTTCCGTTATTAATGCACTTAAAAAACTGTGCCCACAGGCACATTTTTTAAACCACCTTCAATGGTTGTTTTTTTTCTTCTGAATGATACCATTTCAGGCGGACAAATTTCACAGGGTATTTGGTACGAGTCTTATCTTCACTTCGAGCTTATTAAATCGGTAGGCATGTTTTCAAGTAATTGCAAATGTTCATATGTGCCTTTAATCAACATGGTGGATCAATACATATAACTGCTGTATATGAAAAAAAGGTCCAATTTCCATGGAAAACTTCTCAGAGAGTAGTCAGAAAATTGGGATAGATTAAGAATGCCATAGATGTTGTTGGAATCGGGATAAAACCAAAACAGGAAATAACAAGGGGCGTGGCATGGGGACTTTAAGGGGAGATAAGAAGTGCAAGAGAACACAACAAAAGGGGGCGGGGCATCAGCAGGAAAGAGAAGGAGGAGTAGGCCCACCATATATACCCTCAGGCGACAGGGAGTTGGCAAAACGAACGTTGGCAGTCCTGCACCCATAGCCAGCAAGCCGTGACACATTACCTACATTAGGATAGCGACGTTTTGTCGAAAAAAAGAAGGAAAAAAAAGCGGAAAAATGCAATAAGAACATAAAAACAAAAAAAATATACGTACACATACACATGCATTCAAAGCTTGCTGCAAATGAACAAAAACATTAACGAGCAAAAAAAAATAATGAACATTTTCAAACAATCAGATTCGGTAGGATTGTTCATTCTTTTGGGCCTTCTCCTCCCTCTTTTCTCCTGCCCCCGCCCGCAAGGTGGTGATTTTTTTCCTTTTCGGGGCCACAGTTTTGAAACTCTCCTTGTTCTACTCCATGAGAATATTACTTGCCTTTAAAGATATATGGAGATGAAATCGACCCTTTTAGAAAGAACAAAATTCAAAATTTAATCATGAACTCATTGAAAATATTTCAATTTTTTTCAATAATGATATATTGCACATGTAATGGATTTGTGGGATTTAAAAAAAAATGAAAGGAACTCTGAAAATAAAAATGAAAACAAAAAAGGGTAACTTAATAAAGAGAAAATAATTACTGTTGTGCAATGATGAAGTTAACGTATGTGCAACTAAGAAAGATGCTGCTAAAGATAATGTGCATATGTTTCATACTTAATAAAAATGCTTTATTCACAATGCAGGAGTAATCATTCATGAAAGATGTAGTCATTCAAAGAAAAGAAATGTTCCGAATCATGCAAGTGTTCAGATCAAGAAATACAGATGCAACAAAATTATAGGGCAGTACCTTTTCGAATAATTAAATGTTTGATTACTTGAAACTACATAATGACCGAATATTCAAATATTCAAAACTCAGCGGTCAAGTTAGCATATGCCAATTACAACTGCATGTAACAGCTGTCAAAATTTGCACGCATTGCCGTTTTTTAGCTTTTGAGGATTCGAACCAGCAAAAGGCTATTTGAATATGTGACCTGTTCTGTCAAAATCAGACTTTTCTTGGCATAAGGTCGAAAATGATATTTTTACATATTGTTAACATATGTTCTTTTTCCTTTTAATGGGTGGTTTAATTTTTGAAACCGGTCATTCCTGGGCAGAGTTATGTTATTTTGAAGTTCATTGTGTCGAAAAGTAGAAAACGGAGAAAATCGTCGAATGTCACAAAACAGTTATTTGTTTAACTGATATACCTTATCAAAATCATCAAAAATAGTATATGTAGAGTTCAAATTAGGGTTTCAAACTTTTATAATATATTTTATACATGTTCAGGATTACAAATATGCAAAAATTAGAAAATCGATAAAAATCACCCCCACAGCGTTTTTTGGCCCTATCTCAATTTCAACCTCTGCCCAGAAGCGTCTGCTTTTGACAGAACAGGTCACATATTTGATTGATGAGGGAATATTTGAATATTGGGGACAGCCCTACAAACTTATAATTGTGGGTGTAACAATAAGCTGACTGGTTTTCTTTGTTCTTGCGATGTTTGACTTATTAATTGGAACTTGCCACTTTTGAGTTCAGTAAATAATCACAGAATGATCTCCTGATGACAAAAATTGCAGGAATACCAAATAAACAAAACAAAATAGGTGCATAGAATAGCATCACTTTGTGTGTTCGTTACACATGCAAATGGCTTAGCTATTGAAAAAGGAAATTTATGACAATGGATTTTGTACATGCTTATGGAATGTTTCGAGCAGATGGCCATGACTGTTTCAAACCGGGAAGATCGTAAACATATCTGGAACAAAAATATCTTTAAAACATCATCTTGGAAAAAGGCCACGAAGGTCTAACAGATATTGTGCAACAATTTTTTATGAGACTCATAGAGCCTCAAATTCATATTCAGCATACATGTAGAAGCAATGCGAATTGAAAGTTGTGCTTTGCATGATGTCCTTTTTGGGGGATTGACTATAACAAATGCACCAACACTCCATGAAACGGTCCAAGGGTCTGAAGTGGAACAAAACAGCCCCTTCCCCCAACCCTCCCCTCCCCTCCCAAAAATGACCTACCCCTGTTTACATTATTTCTTAATAATACAGTACTATAAGCATTATTGGTACGGGTAATACACATCAGCAAGTTGAACATTGAACTTTTTTCCCCCAAATTAAAGTCAGCCGATGGATGTAGAACAATGCCAACTGTTCATTTTCTAAATTGTTTGGGACAAACTTTTGTCTGAATGGCTGTAGCAGAACATCTAAGCAACAATAACTTTCATCTTTTTTTCAAGAGAAAATTGGAGACAACTGTTAGCGCGAATGATGACGTGTTTACAGTCTTACCTCTAGGAGGCAAAGAGGCAGTAAGCTCCTTGGAGCGTTGTCGTGCTTTGGACGCTTCCTCTCTAGATTCTGAAGCTGCCGTCTCCGCCATCTCGGCTTTCTCTCTGGCATAAGATGCCCTGTAATACAGCAAATAAATGTGGTATACTAATTATTGCGATACAGTAAAACACAAACAAATATCATTCCTTTTATCAAACATCTCACAACCCCCAGACTAGTATAACATCAGGGTTCGACCTTAAATTTTTTTTTTCATTAGCCAGCCGGGCTACTGAAACAGACTCTAAACTAGCCCGCAGGCATTTTCACTGGCCTGCATGTTTTTCTTTTATAGAGTGTCTCATAAACAACAATGTGCATACATGTAAAACGTGTATCCTGAGGCAATCTTGTCAGTGTTTTTAATTAATAAACAGATCTAATACTTTAACCCTAAACAGTTAATAAAATTAAACACAACTTGATAGAGGTTTGCTTCCTGAATTTAATGATTTATTTCTTCCTGTCCATTCATCTTTGCCATAATTTTTGACATGCCAGCTGAGCTACTTACAATGAAAGGAATAGTTTGACTAGCCCGCCGCTGTTTTGAGTAGCATTTGGCTAGCGGGCTACCGCTAAATTCGCACCCTAGTACATGTATGTAACTTCTACCTTTTCCAAACCTCAATTAACTAATGAAAACAAATTAAATTACCTTACTTTTACTAAAAAAAAGTTTACTCTTTGCCAACTTGCCCCCCCCAAACAAAGAGCTTTCCACTGATTGCTACCTTCAGCATTGCTATGATCAAGGTAATATACATGTATATATATGGCCATTTTCCAAACCCCGGCCCTTGTCTTCTTCTTTGGCTTTAGGCATACAGTTTGGCAATGGAGCTGAAGCTGGAGACAGAGCCAGGGTTTGGAAAATGGACTATAGACTGCTATTGTTGAATACCGCCCTCAACATGTAGCATGTCATAAGAATGAATCCATACATGGAAATGCATGAGGGGTTTTCTAAACCACGGCCTTGTGTCAGATATGGCTTCAGAGATTTATATGAGAAATTTCACTTTGCCATTATTTTTTAAATCAGTGATTGTGAATATCTTTATTGCAGTAATTAAATATATTTTGCTATCATGTTGTGAAATTTCAGTTTTGTTTCCAACTGCTAAACATGATTGTACCGTAACTGAACAAACCTGTGAATGAGATTGCTAGGCTTTAGATTGGATATTCAACAGACATTATTATGTACATGTATGTATCGATAGCTCTCTCAAGTTCATGTAAATCAGCAATTGCACAAAAGAGTTCATCAGATATCCAGTGTCTTATTGCTGCCATTGACCTTCAACCACCAAAATCTGTGCCCAAAATCCTACTCCTAGTTTTGCAGTATTTAATGGATTCTATTGCAAGACTTCACAGCCCAGCTAGTATGTATTTTCTGACACAGATATTTAAACACTGGCCATTTACCGTGCTTGTCCAAACAACTTTTCTACTGCACATGCTGCAGGTGCATATTCTAAATGCATTTAACATTCCAAAACTGAGTGCACAAAATCATTTCTTTTGCTTTATGAATTTTTCGTGTCTAATTTCCCTTTCTGCACGTCTGTCTGAAAATGCCCTGAATAGACCTTATTCATGAGGAAGCCATTTTGATCGTGTTCCTTGAATCTACTTTATATATTGTAAACTGTTGAATGGGAGGGTGCCAGACTATTTTGCGAGTGTGGAGTGGCGTTCCAAGCCTTACTTTCCTTTTTTTTTGCAAATGTGGCTTAAAACATTAGGGTATGTTTAATCACACAATTTTAAATTATTCATCAGAGCAGATGGGCATTAATTTGAAATGTACTTTTAGTTCATTGCTTTCATTTCTACTTGCAAGTTCCAAAATTGAAGAGTTGACCTCCCTTTCAATTCAATATGGCCGACTCGTGAATAAAGTTTATACTCATGCTGACCAATAGTAGTTATTTATGTACAGTGTTCAAAAATGGCATTCATCTGGTACCCTTGCCAACTGGTACACTGCAAAGGCCCATACAAAGGATGGAAGGCTGGCCACTTGGACCATGGAGGAAGGAAAAGGACAGGGCATCCCGCCATCATAAAATGGCGTCTCCGGTAATAGGTCAGGAAACGTTGCTCCCTATGGCCTAATTCCCCCATAAATACTAAGTCATAACGGCCTCCTAAAGTGCACCGCTAACTCAAGGAAAGATGCACAGAAGGTTTCATCCGCATGACTAACAGCCTCCGCTTATAGTCCCAAAATACACATCCGTGGACGTAGCTACATTCCTGGCATACCACCGGGTCCAAATGTCTTCATCCGAGGCGATGCGATATTATCGGATAATCTATGGTATTTGGGGTCATCTGACGAACCAGACAGATATAAATATGTAATTATATTTGTAATGACTCTTTCTGCCGAGCCCGGGTCAACAAATCAGGCAGCTTGTGTCAAATAAACACAGCCATTTTTAACGCGTAAACAGACAATGTTGACCAGCTGAATTTATTACAGCAATATTGGAGTGTTCTTCTAACGTAATTCATGATTCGCAAATGAATTCACCTCTGTATATTATTGGGCTGTGGAGACGTGATGGAAACATTGTTTTGATGCTTGCTGTGAAAATTACGACTGCAAATTGTAACTGAAACATTGTACATTTGGTTGAAAAAAAAAACTCACTGAAGAAATTGTGTCTCGGTAAAATACATCAATATTTCAACTAATCTTCCAGGTATAAATCACGTCAATTTCACTTTTCTTTTGAATCATGACTTCATGACTGGTTATCAGTGTACAATTGTTGCTGGCTTCAGAGACATATGTGCAAAAGTATGTACACTTATTGGAAACAATTTCAAGGAAATCATTGCTTTTAAAAGTGCTCTAAAAACACAAAACTTTCATGAAGCCCCTGGGCAATAGAGCCTGAAAGTTGACCCCTGGTGGCGCACTTCCGGACCCCTCGAATAGGAACATTAGCGTGTAAAAGTTGGAGTTTTTAGAATTATTTTTGGTACATTGATTTCTTAACCAGTTTGCGCTTGGGATTATTTTGACATTGTGACCGGACCTAGGCGCGGGATTGTTTTTCACCAACCTCGATGCCAGATGGGTTCAGGCCATCAGCTGCGGGTAGCAAAGGAATCATTTTAATTATTTTAAAATAATCAGTCATAAAATCTCTACAGGGATATATTTTGGTAACTCACATTACAGTAACTCACGTTACAGTTTGTCTGCCCGTCTTTGGTACAAGTTAAAACATATACATGTAAGAAACTAAACGTCAAACAAAAAACTCATAAATGAACCTTTCTCTCTGCCTTAAAAACACAATCTCACAATCACATTTGCAGTTTACATGTGAAAACACGGTGCCAAAATGACTACCGTACCTAGCCAGCATTGCTCCAATGATTGGTCTGGTCGTCCCCTTTGATTTGATACCACATTAGAGGTTGTGATGCTTGCAGTTTTAAAGATTTCATAAATTTTCCATTTTTCGGCCATGTCCGCCTTCTCATGGCATTGCCCCTATTTTTTTTGGTTTCTTTTATTGCAATTTTTGAAACTATGTCACACAAAAATAACTGTAAAAACGTGTCAACTGCAATCTGTGAGAAAGTGAGACATCTTATTAAAAGACTAATATTGGTAATTGTGTAGTTTAGAACAAAAACAACACTTTCATGTTTTGGGACTTAGGCCAAACAAAAAAATAGCTCTGCTTCTGATTACATGGCATTTGAAAATAGGGTAGGTACATGTAGGTAGGGAATTTTTTGTGTGCACGATCATATGGAGGCGTCTGCGCGTTGTCAAGGATAAAAGGTAGAAATGGATGGTTTTCGTTTTCTTCCCTCATTTTTTTCTTGGCCTTACAGTACATGTACATGTACCTAAACATTTTGGCAGTGATACAGGAAAAGTCACTTTATGTGTTTGGAAGCATCAAAAAAGTTCGCTAAGGCCAAAAAAAAAAGTCTCCGGTTTCTGGTATGGAGCTTGCCCCAAAAGTGGTGCGGCGACGCAGCTTTTTTTTTTTTTACCTGTTTTTTTTTTTTTTGGCTTCAAATGTCGGCTGATGACTGCAAATGGTGCCCGACTAAACTTAGTGCAAATATATGGGAGTCCAGAGAGGCCACATAAATCTTATTCTCGATCATAACTCCTTCTAAAAACACGTTAAAATTGTGCAGCAGCAGAATTCCAGTCAAACCAGTGAGTTTGGCGGTTTTGAAACATCATCCTGTATTGAAAAAAAAACTTTTTCATTTTGCCGACGCGCATGGCTACGGCGATGCGCGCGTATACCAGAAACCGGAGACTTTTTTTTTTTGGCCTAAGATACCATGACGAAAATCAGCAAGCTTAATTTTGCGGAAAGAGGGCAGGGTTTTGATTTATGAGGGAAATGATGGGGTAAAATGGGGACGAAGACAACCTGCATGACCCCCCCCCCCCCCACCAAAAACCCCCAAGATGACCACAATGTTTCCGAGTGCAAAAAAGGTCAAGAGTACATACGGTAAATGTACTTACAAAACATTACAAAAACATGAGTTAATCTGAAGGAAAAAACTGCTTGAGGCTGCAAAAGTCATTTTGGAATTGACTGTCATATTTGCAAAAGTCATTTTTGAACGGAACTTGGAAAAAATAAACTACTGACGTACACGACTACATGTACCCTAATTTCTTTCCCATTGTGACGCACTGCAGTGATATAATCTACACAACTACTAGTTCTTCAGCCGCACCACTGTGCCTGCGACGTTTGACCTTATAAAGGTAGAGGGAAAAACAAGCCGAGACCCAACATTGTTTGTTTTGAAGTTCCGCGGCATTTTTTGATTGTTTATTTTTCCTTAGCCTGAGGCATCAGCACTATTTCTGTTTCTTTTCACATTTTTTTCTTGATTTACGTACAGTTTTGGTTTATTTTCCTTACCAGGTACATGTGCATCTTCCAAGTCTTCCCATTTATCAATCCTGTATTAAAATACCTCAACAGTAAAAATGGGTCGTCCGTGTTTCGCTTTGACTCAATTTGAGTCTCATTTTTGAGGTTTTATTTTCTGCCATTTT